TGGGAGACCACAAACAGTAGAGCATCTACTTCTATACTGCGGCTTTTATAGCGCAGAAAGAAACCAGCTTAAAAAGACTCTAAACCAAAAAGTACTTAAACTCCCACTCTTACTCCATACTACGAGCGGTATAGAAGCTACTCTAGCTTTTATTACTAGCACGAAGATAGGAACAAGAAAGTGGCACCTAGGCCAGGAGGGCTAGAAGGAACAAAAACAAGAAAGAAACAGCAAGAAAGAAAGAAAAAGAAGAAAAAAAGAAAAAAAAGAAAAACAACGTTTGCTTTTATTAGTACTATTTCCTATCCCCTAAGAGAGCTCGCTGGAAGGCAGCTTAGCCGCCCTACATCTCTCCCTATTACCAAACTGCTCTTTAGCACCAGGCATCTAGAAAGCTAGTAATAGCTTAGCTAGATAAAGGCCGAAGCACCCTAGCTACACTTTATAGCAGAAACCTCCAAATTGTAAATAAAAACTAGATAGAACGGCCTACGGCCAAAGTCTTACATAGCCAACGGCTGATACAGGACTATAATGGAATATATATAACTAGTAAGAAAGTACAATTTGAGTTGACCACAACGAGAGTAATAATGAAATCCATCCATTCTTATATCCTCATTACTTCTAGTCCTAGCTTCACGGTCTTCACGAAATAATCCCTGTATCTTCTGAAGCCCCTGAAGACATCTAGTCACGTGTGAGAGTGTCCTCACATACTAGCGCGGGATACTTAGTCTTGGCGTGAAGCCAGTCACGTGATCTTCGCCCCGCGATGATCATTACCTTCTGACGTGGACGTCCTTAGGCCTTCAGCCATCTCGTCATTTGTCAAGGAGAGAATCCTTCTTGTTACTTGTAACAATTAGTCTTGTCAAAACCTCCTAAAGCACGCCAACTCCACTGCATCGCCAGACAAGATTCACGGAACACTAATGTAGTACTCGCCTGCCTTAGTACGGACCAGGACAGAGAAGTATAGACCCAAACCCCGTGTAACACTAAGCTAGATATAAAAGATTTAAAAGTATAAGTTTTAAAGATAGCTAAAAGCTTAAGTATCTATTATAATTCTCTATAAAATCTTTGAAAATTACTATATTAAGATTTAGTATATATAGCTAGTATATTTAAGAAGTTAAACTAATATTTAAAGAAAGATTGTATTTTATAACATCTTTTTATAAAATAAAGCTATAAAAAAGGTTTAGTTATATTATAAATTAGCTTTAATTTATATATATCTTAATTTTAGAATATAAAAAATATTTATATAGATCTATAACTATAAGAGTTATAGATCTAGATAAATAGAGTAACTTTGATATTAGAACTTTTCTAATATCTCTTATAGTTATTAAGTTATACTATCTTAAAATAATAGGTTTTCTTAGTATTTTGCAGGCATTTTGCGCGCATTACGCGACTCCGCGCACGACGCGCACGGGCACGTTACTCGGGCCCAAGGATGGCGTCCCGCCACCCATGCTGCGCATGGGCCCTCGCAAGCTTAGGGCCCCTGAGCTCAACGATAAATATACGCTCAACAATAATACCACTATTCATAGGCCTCTATAACAACAAATACAAATCTTTTTGCGTAGAAAAAATGCCACGATGTGCTAGAGCACCTACTAGTTACGAGAAATTCACTAGGGAAATAGCTGACGCCGTCGTTGAGCTGAGACGCCTCCGCAAGCCTAACCTCTCAGAATACGCGCGACTACACAACCTGCCATATCAACGCCTACACAGGGCTTTTAATGGTGGCAACAACAGATCCACGCGCGCGCCTACAAATAGGAAGCTCTCTAACGTGCAGGAAGCTTCTCTTGTATACTATCTTGACGCTGTCGACGCCGTAGGCTTCGGCGTCACCAAGTACATGGTCGAGGCTCAAGCTAACCACCTTCTGAAGCAAGCCTTTGAGGACGCCATTGACTCTGAACCCGATATATTAGATCCTGCAGAGCCGCCTGTCGTCGGCCAGGACTGGGCTCGCCGCTGGCTTAAGCGGCATACGAAATATACAAGATTAAGAAGCCAGCCAATTGAGCTTACGCGCAAGCTGGCACAGGACCTAGAGGCCTTGCAACGATGGTTTACGCAGTTAAAAGAGCTTGTAGACTTACTTGGTATACAGGAGGAGGATCTATATAATATGGACGAGACTGGCATCCGGATTGGCATCTCGAAGAGGCAGGCTGTCTACACGCAACATGGACGCGACGTCCTTGTGCCAACGTCTAATAATAGAGAGCTCGTTAGCCTTGTAGAGTGTATTTCTGCGTCTGGTCATTCAATCGCGCCTATGATTATTGTCAAGGGCAAATCAATCCTTGATTATTGGGCAACTGATCTTCCTGACGATTACTTTATCAATACTACATCCTCAGGCTATTCAACAGATCTGACAGCTTTCCACTGGATCCAGCACTTTGAGAAACAAACAAAGGCTCGTACGAAAGGACTATGGAGGCTCCTACTCCTCGACGGCCATGGGTCTCATGATACGCGCGAATTTTTGGAGTACTGTGAGCTCCATCGTATACTCGCAGTTGCGCTCCCCCCACATACGACGCATCTTTTACAGCCACTAGATGTGGGCTGCTTTCAGCCATTGAAATGGTATCATGGAAAGACGCTTGACTGGGCGGCGCGTACGGGCGCTAAAGAGATCACAAAGGACGACTTTTTCGCTACTCTCGATGAAATAAGACGTCAGACATTCACCTACAACACAATACGAAGTGGCTGGCGACGTACAGGGCTAGCTCCATGGGCTCCAGAAGTCGTCCTTGCCGCCGTCAGACTTATAGAGGTGCCCCGCGTGGATCTACAGCCAGCAGAAGTCTACAGAGACAACGCTGGAGCTCCAGACGACCTCCAGGACTGGAGGACTCCGCGTACGACACGCGTACTCAACAATCAACTCACAGAGTTGCAACAGCGTCTTTGGGAGGACTACGATGTTGACGACGATTTGCTCAGCGCCCTAGACACTACTTACAAAGGCGCCCTCGCAATGGCCCAGGCTACTCAAGGACTTACCAAAGCTCTACAGCAAACAAAGGCTGCTGAGATTGCTCGTGCAGAGCGTCGTGAGAGAGCTGTTCATAGACGTCGCCTAAACGAGGGAGGACCTTTATACGCCAAAGACGCCAGACGAATGGTAATTGAAAGAGAGCAAGACGAGCTTATAGAGATACAAAGGAAGCTCCAAGAGCGCAATCTCAAGTCTATAAAGCGCCTAATTACTGCGCTTAAGCTCTCTACAATACGACGTCTTGGTAAGCTGTCTGCAAGGCGACATATAGAGGGGACAACTATACAACGTACGTTAGGCCTCCGACAATATGATATCTCGTCGCTAAGAGAAAGTGCGCAGAGCTCCTGGCGTCTAATTAATAGTAGATCTATTGCAGAGAGGTGGCGCAGATCTATTATATACGATCCGACAGGTGCTGCATGGCTAGGCTTAGCAGCCCGACAGCCCTACGACCCATATACTATATACATTGCCACACGCGACACGACAGCTCTTAAAGTACGTCAGCAGCAGGAGAGAGCTCAGGCGGAGGAGGTGGCTATGTTTGATACGCAACAGACAGCTGAGCAGGACGCTGAGAGCTCGGAGGAGAGCTCTGTTGGCTATTCATCGCCACTGTCGCGCTTCTACAACGACGACTTACTCGACGAGCACCACTCTAATAAGGCTAGGGACTTGTAAATAGTAGCTTATATATGTACTTAATAATCGCTTCCGAATCGATTTTATAAAAATTTACTAGCTACTAAATAACTGCGATTTAAACGTTTGTAATTATTGTTTGAGCGTATATTTATCGTTGAGCTCAGGGGCCCGAGTATGTACGGCGGTAGTACGAAGTAGCTAGTTTTGGATGATGCAACAGCTACGGTGGTCAGTGCACCAGCATCGGTGCATCACCCAAAACTAGCTCCTTCGTATATGAGATCTCGGAACCTTTGCGGTGCTCGTTTTGATCCTGGTATCGAGGCAACGTCATGTTTGCATCGGGAGATCCAATCATTGGTCGCCAAGAGCCGTTAGGCAATGATCGTGTACGGCATCTGGCATCGGGCCGATGGCTCCATCCCGTCACTGTCCGACCCTCCGTCCCTCCGTCTGCCAACAATGACATAGGTCGACTTTTAAGACATGATCAGCCTTGTCCATGGGTGATTTTTCACATTCGGCGTTATGCCGGTGACTAGTACAGGCCGTCATCCTCCGACTCTCCTTCGGCTCCGTTTCCAAACAATGGCATAGCCTGACTACTGCAGGGGCATAAGTTGCTTATGCAGCGTAGTTCTGTTCATACCGGGGAAGGCAAGATGTATTAGGCGAGACAGATGCTACCGCATTAGGTAATTAGCGCAGCGGGATTCTTTCCTTTCTCCTTGCCAAGTCTGTCCACCGGTTCCCGTCTGCTCCCCTTGCAATGCTTTCGGTTGCACAAGTTCGTTCACCATACCGTATAGATTACAGGGCGTTCCTGTTAGAGCATTCTAACACGTACTCAGTTCGGCACCGGGTAGCTCAATATCCATAGCGGGAATATCTTGGTATATACCACGCGGAGCTGGGTAGATCCGGGAGCCGGAAGCTACTGACAATCTCCCAAACCAGATCTCTGGGCAAACCCTAATATACAGATCGCTTTAATAAGAGATGCATATGCTGAACAAAGTTTTACCTTACGCCTTTCTACCAAAACGTCTGCCTATCTTTGAGATCTACGATGCGCCTCTTACAGATCGCCAACTCGCTTCTGGCGGGGCTCGCCTTGGAAGCGACAGCGACTTCGACTTCAACGCCCTCTCCGAAATATCCTCCATCAGTCAAAATAAAGAACGGCACTTTGTCTGGTGTGCATAATACCGCCTTCAATCAGGATTTCTTCTTAGGAGTTCCCTACGCCACCCCTCCCATTGGGAAGCATCGTCTTAGACGACCGGAGCCGGCGCAAGCTTGGAATGGCACGAAAAATGCCAGTACTTACGGTCCTTGGTGTGTCGGGACCCCGCCAGGAATCGTAGATCTTCCTGGCTTCGCACAAGCTTCTGAGAAATTCTTAGCCAAAAGTGAAGATTGTCTCCAATTGAACATCGTACGACCCGCGAGTCTGCTCCCAAAGTACAAGCGACTGCCCGTCCTGGTTTGGTTCCATGGAGGCGGCATGGCTAGTGGCAGTGGTGTTGATGAACGCTACAACGGGTCATTCTTGGTTCAAGAGTCAGTTGAGATGGGCACCCCCATCATCTACATCAGTATCAACTACCGACTAGCTACGTTTGGATTCCTGGCCGGCTCAGTAATTGAAAAGGCTGGTTTAACAAACATTGGCCTGCGTGATCAGCGCCAGGCATTGCTTTGGATTAAAGAGAATATCGACGCGTTCGGTGGCGACCCCAATAAGGTGACAATATTCGGAGAGTCAGGTGGTGCTTTCGCTGTGGGGCTACAACTCATTGCCTTTGGAGGACGAGGTGAAGACCTCTTTCACGGAGCAATCATGCAAAGTGGCAGTCCGCCTCTAGCTCGCACGATTTTCAACGCTCAGGGTCGAGAGGAGGAGTTTCAGAAAATTCTTACTGCAACCGGGTGTTCCCAATCTCAAGATGTTCTCGCTTGTCTGCAAGCTGTACCGACAGACGTCCTGTCACGTGCAAGTTCTTCAAATACTCAGGCCCCAGTCCTTTTCACCGCCAACGACGATATTCTCCCAGAGCTTCCATCCAGACTGCTCGACGAGGGTCGTATTGTAAAGGTCCCCGTTATAGCCGGCATAAACAGAAACGAGGGGACTACAATTCTGGCACTGATGCTCTCCGCTAGCAATGCAACGCTTAACACCTTCGAAGACTTCGCGGCGGTGATCGCGGACCGTGGTTTCCCTCCTGCTGCAGTGCGAAAACTTTGGGACCTGTATGGAGATGAGGTCACAAACCCCACGGAAGCTGGCCTGGGTGATGTTCTACCATCCAAGTATGGCTCCGAATTTCCCCGCGTGTCGCTGTTTGTGGGAGACGACAAGTTTGGCTTTACTAAACGCTACACGAACCAGGTTTGGGACGCAGCGGGCGTTCCAAGCTACAGTTATTTCTTCGATATCGCGCCTGACAAGGCATACTTGGATCCCGCTATATACGGTGTGCCACATGTCTCGGAGATTCCCTATGTCTTTGGCAACGCGAATGGTGTAGGGTGGGAAAAGAATCCAATTCCCCAAGGGCCTGACAATGCCGCTAACCTCAAGATGGTTAAACTTATCAGTCGAATGTGGATCAGCTTTGCTGCTTCAGGTTCGCCTAACAATCACAAGGGTAAGTGTTTTCTATTCATCTTTTGACGTTTGCTTGCTGAACAGTATTACAGTAGCCGATGTGAAGTGTGAATGGCCAGTATGGTCAAGTGCCGATGCTAAAAGTGCATGGTTCAAACTATCGGGTCTTACTACACAAGAGGACAACTGGCGTCAGGAAGCCATGGACCTTAACATAGAATTGACTAAGGGGAGAGAGTGGTAGCGTGGATGACTGCAGCTTTGACTCGAGCTTTACTCTCAATAATAACAACACCACTACACTGGAGCTCTCTCCGTTGCGCACTGAATTGGAAGATTGGACAGCATGACTTGAAGTGTTTGCAGGAGACCGTTTTCGATTCCTGCCAGCTCTTTTCACTTCGCCTTTGTACCCAATTGCGCGGTTAACATCCTTCACTTGCACGCGAACCATCTATCGTGGTACGTTCCCAAACCATCTTGCGATGAAGATCGAACTGAATGCTTCGAAGTAAATGTAACTGGTGCCAGGGTTGTGTGTGGAGAATGCTGGAAGCTCGTCAATCAAGCTATGGATAAATTGATGGTATCAAGTACGCCCAACGCCTCGCCTTGTGTACGGTGCAATGCAGTCTAGGAAATCCTTTTCATGTCCAGTTCACGTGGTGTTTTTCCAATCGATCGCCCAAGAGTGTGAAAGGCAGGATTTAGCGACGCAGGCAGCGGCCCCAGGCTGTGATTTTGTCAGGACTTATTTCGCTTCAAAAGGACATGATGAAGACTTACCAGGTAACCCACAGCCAAACCCAACGAAGATGTAAAGCAAGAACAAACACACCACAAACAACAACACCATCAACTTGACATTTTTCCACCACATCTTCCTCCGCAGCGTGCGACTCCTCACACGAAAATCTCTCGCGTTCTCGCCCAGCCGACCCGTCTTGTCGACAAGCACGCTCATGTGCTCTCCACGCTCGAGCACGCGCTCGATATTCTCCGTCATGATCTCCCTCACGCCATCGATTTCGCGCTGCGCCGTGCGTAACGCATCCTCCTGCCCGGCCAGCGTGCCTCCCTGATGCATCATAAGCCGCTTCAACTCGGCATTAAAGCTCGCGCACCCATAACTCGGCAGCTCTCCGAAAGCGGTATCATCGACATCGAACTGCGCGAAGAACTTGTCCTGTAGGGTCTGCAAGAAGCCGTACGGGACGCCTTTGCCCGCGGCTTTCTCCGCGACCACGAGGAAGATAAGGCGGCCTGGAGACTTGGAGTTTGCGGGCTTGCGCATGAGCAGGTGGACAGAGTGGGTGTCTTTGTCGTAGGAGCGGCGGGTTTCGGGCGGGTTCTCTTTGGCGATCAGGGGCAGGATCATGGAGATTAGGGAGGAGGCATTGGAGCTGGCGGAGGCGGTGTGTTCGGCAAGGACGGTGGTGTCGTGGGCGATGCATGCACTGGATATTGCTGTTAGTATGCAATGTGGAAATTCTGTCGCCATGAGAATAGAGGCGTACTAAAGCAGCGAGGTGGAGCTAGACGAAGAAGCCATGGTTCTGTGCTTCTTTCCTGCGCGCAACGGCTTCTTCGGGCTTGACGATGGTGATCTGGACGTGTTCTTGGTAGGCGAGATGAGGCCGCGGGATAGCAATGTGCTGTGTTCGCCGGTGCCGTCGTGGTGTTGTGCGACGATGGTGAGTGGAGGACCGTGGAAGCTGGGGATGCTGCCTCGAGCCGGGCGCGTCATCGCCAAGACGTGCGCTGATGCACGGAAAACGTGGGTGAAGACGCGCTAGGGCTGCAGGGCGGGCCGCGGCTTCTTCTCGTCTCGTCGCGACTGGTCGGGCTGTCTTCTAGCATACGTGCAAGGCAACAAGGAAATCGGCGTGTGCAGTGGAAGAGGTGTTTGCGCGCTGGCAGAATTGGAGTTGAAAAGTGCAAACGCTGTTTGTTTGGGAACGCAGTTGCGTTGGGTGACACAGAGCCAATTTCAACCTTCGCCGATTTCACTTTGACGTCGTATATTTACGCGCAAGCCACATCCCTGCCTGCAACACCACGACACCACGACACCATGGTGCGCGTCAAGTACCGCTATCTGGTGGTGAACTTCCTCTACCCAGAACCCATCGCGAAGAGCAAGACGCCGCTTCCCGATCTTGTACAGATCCACGCGCCCACGCCCGATGCTTTCCATACCGGCACCCTCATGCGCTTGATACGTGAAGGCGTCGAGGATCTTTATGGCGATTATGGCGCAGGCATGGTGTCTACGGGACTCAAAGGTTTGCTGCTTGGGATCTTCAGTGTACATTTTACTTACTTTCTTCCAGTCAACTACTGGTCTCCCTCCACATCCACCGCAATCATCCGCTGTCCCCGCGACCACTACGAAATGGTCTGGGCCGCACTCACATACACCACACGTCTACCCAAGCCCGCCGATGTACCAGTCGTAATGAGAGCTGTGCGCGTGAGCGGTACAATCAAGAAGGCGGAAGAAGAGGTAATACGACGGTCGCAGCTTATCATCCGGAGGGCAAAGGCCGCAGAGGCGAAGACGCCCATGCTGGAAAGTGTGGAGAAGGCAGCAGACGAAGCGAGGAAGAATGAGCGCGACGTTTTGGCGCTGGTGGATCGAGGCAGCGAGGATGACGATGAGGATATGAGTGACTGAAGCGAATTGAGAACTGCGTGCTTCACAGCCCTACACCCTATACACAGATTACGTGGTCGACGGGAAGGAACTTGTTGAAAGTATTGGCATTAACGCTCTGCGCATAAATTTCTCAGAGGTAGACGTACTCCTGGCTCAAAGGTAAGGCTTCGGTCCCCAACCTGGGCCTCGTCATACCGCCCTCACGGCTATACGCTGGACGACTAAACCGAAGCGAGAAGAAATTCCCGCGCATTCGCCGCTGGTGTTCCCAACGTCTCACAACGTTTGGCCACACTCACCTCTTATCACGACGTATTGCGTCTCGCCAGCCTTTGTGCATGCAATTTTCTTCGCGCAACCTCAGTCTCGCCGACATCCTCATCCTCGTCCGCAACGCAGTGTTCGCAGTTTTCCCACCGATGTGAGAAGCAAGGGGTACTGGCGTCTTTATCCGCTCTAGATCAGATCAGGATTGAAGGCACCTCGAGTTCTGAACATGTCGTGGACTTCTGACGCGCTGTGAGATGTTCTTGAAGCTCAGCTGCGTTCAGAATCGACGACTTTGACTTACAATGGACAAGGCCCTAAGTGGAATGTAGCCCTCGATAACGAATATGAAGATGTCATCTGGAGCCGAGCCGATGTCGCCGTGACGTATCGGCACCTCCAGCGCGCACTGCCTTGTCCTTCGAACAGACGCCTCTGTCCATCAGCATGGGCAGCCTCGCATATTCGACCGAGCGCGGCAAACGGGCAGACGACGTACTGGGCTAGGAGGCTTGGATTCTGGCATACCCGATTGCACAAGCTGTGTTCGACACGGGCAGGGCAGGAAACAACTGCTCCGCCAGGCGGATAGCAGCTGGCGGGGCTGGCCAACCGGAGAGGGAAAATGATGCCTTGGACTGGCTCGCACCTCGAACGGACGAGTTGCGGGACCTGACGGACTCTCGTCGCGCAGTATCCATCCGGCATCGGCTGGCACTTCTTTTTAGCCTCCTTCGACACCTCCGTGCGCGGTGCCGGACTATCTCGTCCGTTGAGTACACCGACACTGCAACGAGTACACGAAAAGCATCGCCTGTTGCTCTTCAGAAGCATGGCTGTGTTCCATACATTTGGTGTCATTTCTCTCATGCGACTTGGGGTACGCCGCGGCTGTCTCACCTCTGGTCAACTACGGCCTAGGACACATCTCAGGCGACCGCCTGAGGAGCTGGCAGCATATGTGCATCGTCACCGGCGCGGTCACGATATTATGCAGCTTCGTCGGTCTCGCATGCATGCCCTCTGATCCTGCTTCGGCGAAAGGCTTCGACGAGCGGGAAAGACACATCGCGATTTCACGAGTCGTTGAAAACAATACCGGCGCACGGTGCCGACACGAAGCGCAAATGCGGGAAGCAATCTGCGACATCAAGTTCTGGCTGCTGTTCAGCACAGTGTTCTTGATACTGTAATGATAGCGAACGGCCCTGGGTCTAGCTTCTTTCCAATCATCATCAGCGGCTTTGGCTTCAGTCGACTCAACCCACTACTGCTGACACTCCCTGCCGGCATCGTCATCGGCACGATCGAGCTTGGGGTGCCATACATTGCCTGTCGTGTTGACAACATTCGAGCATGGCTGATTGTCATCTGCCAGTGCGGCACGATCGCGGCTTCATTGCTGCCGTGGCTCTTACCTAGAGACGAGAAAAGCGACTTGCTCTTTGCTTGCTACATTCTCGCGTCATACAGCGGCGGATACGTGGTGTTGATGGGCCTGCAGGTCGCGAACACGGCAGGACACACGAAGCGATCGGCCACATCTGCAGGCATGTTTGTAGGACACTGTCTTGGTGAGTCTAGTTGCCCGTGCCTTTTAAATGATGCTGACGTCTCACCCAGGGAATGTTATGGGTCCGATGTTGTTCAAACCTGAGGATGCACCCACATACGCGCCAGGATTCATCGCGGTGCTGGCGACTTCGTCAGCGGCTGCACTGCTCGCTAGAGTGTACCGCTCCCTTTGCATTCGAGACAACTGCCATCACGACGGAAGTGGCACGCAAAAGTGCGCCAAACGTACCCTCGATGATGTTGGGGACAGAAAGAAACGCCAGTTCAAATACGTTTTCTAGTCGTACTTTGAGGTGTACCGCAGCTTCATAGAAGTAGTGTCCAGTTCCTACAATGTCAAAACCTCCGCCCTACAGGGTACTATGTCGGACAACTCAGGTAACGATGACACGCAGAGAACAAATAGAAGGGATGAAAAAGGTCAGATTGTAATCCCAGCGCTTGATCTGGGTCACGGAACACACAGCTTCTCACCACAGCGTATTGTCATGGCGTCATTCACTTGGTTGTTTCCTGTGTCGCTGACAGATCGACTGGCAATATTGTGACTGGAGGGACTGCTGCTGACCCTGCTCCACAGCTGCTCTCCAACTTCCTTGTTTAAGAAGCATCTCACTTCTCTAGGGACTCGCTTGGACACGTCGATACAGAACTGAAACGATAACGTTCGCTGCTCCAAGAGACCAAAATCCGTGCCATTGTGCAATCCACCCTTCGTGGACAGACTGGTAATTGTGCGCTATGATGTGTCACATGCTCGTTCGCTGATTTCGGGTAGTTTGCCGGCATTGACTCACTATTCATCCTACACTCAGCATTGCCTGGACGACAATGTGGACAGAACATCTTCTCTTGGCATTCGCTGCGCTCATCATGCTGGGCTTGGCAGTCCAATATGCACGAAGCTTGAGGCAGCTCCTTCGGGACAGCTCTACCCGCAGGCACAGCCCATGGATGTCTCGTCAGCTGGCAGGCAACAAATTCGATTAGTTGATGGCGACCTCCTGGTCTCAGAATAATCTAGTCGAGGCGTTTCGGAGGGCACTTCTATCCAGTGACACTTTGCTAGGTGCAAGTCTTAACAGCATCCCTTGTGCCGATTTGACACAGTCTTTAACTTAATTACATGGAAACTTGCGAGATAGGGCTTGGAAGGTCAGCAAATGCATTCAATCCCCCTTCAACGCCCGTATGATTCCCGGATGATGGAGCCTGAACAAAGCAAGTGCGGCCTGCTGACCCTGCTGCCGATCATGCTAATGAATTTTCAAACCAATTGCTAACGTCGATGCTGATGTGTCAGTCATATCCTTAGTTTACTTTGCCATTAGCTTACTTTGCGATATTGAACTACGATAATCAGTTGTATCGTGGGGTACGGAAGACGTCCTGACCGCTATCAACCACTGACGGCTACTCCTCTCAAGTCAGCTTTGCAACCCATAGAGTGCGGGGCTACTTTTCTCGCTCCAGAACCATCCTGACAGGAGCCGTGGTCCTCCGTTCAGCTTCGTAGTAAATTCTATCGAGCCTGACGCTGACACGTAAAGGAGTAAAATACGGGCAGGAGAGCCTAGCGGGTAGGTAACAGTCTAAGCTATCGGAAGTTACGTCGGCAGCCACGCTAAACTCCCAAAGGAAGAGAATAAGCCCATCGTGCTTGTTTCTGCACTTCATGCTCCAGCGCGTGTGCATATCCAACACCAGCAGGCAAGCATGTTCCCCCTCATGCGCCTTCCTACCGAACTACGCACGGAAATCTACACGTATGCTCTACTGCCTAGCGATCACATGATATCGCGAGGAACTCTACCGCACATTGGGAGCTTGCGCTACCGATATAGCGGCCTTCTGAAGTTGCTGACGGAAAGATGCAACACCCGTCTCGTTGGGTGCAAGGACTATGAATGCCGACATCGGTCGATGCAGCACGAACATACCATCAAAGCCATGCGAGCGGACGAGTTCGCGTTCGGACTCTTCCTTACGAGCAAGCAGGTCTCCTACGATGCTAGCAAGATCTTCTTCGGGGAGACGCACTTTGTCTTCGAAAGCAGATTCGACCTGCATGTCTTCTTGCAGGCTAACAAGCATGCAAAACTTGTGAAAAGCCTGACCTTCAATGGCCGTAAGAGTTACGGACCTCACAGTAGACAAGTAAAGGCACGCTTTACGACATGGAAACTCCGCTCGGAAAGCTCCTGGGGTCCCACCGTGTCGGCCTCTATCCGGGAACTAGCCGAACATTGCCCAGAACTCGCCTACATCGAATTGCTCGACAACCGCGGCTGCGACTCTGCTTAGAACACGATCGATTTGCGAACCAATGGCTTCACCAGCTGGGAAGAAGTGCAGTGTATCAGCAGCATGAGACTGCAGGGCTTCAGCTACATGCTGCCCGACGTGGAGCGCTACAGAGCCCTGGCTGCTCGGGGACTGGTGCTAGCATGCACGTATTTTGATTGGCCTCTCCAACACCAGAACGTGCTCCGGGAAGCAGCAGAAGTACATATTCGCAAGAATTTGGAGCATATGAGGTTAGGCTGACAAGTTTCTCGCGGTGTCGCTGGTACGCCTAGTTCCTGTAGTGACTCGGCAGGCGATTGGGTCTGGTGTAAGCCCAGAAGTACCATGTATAGTCACGTGGTTACCTACTGACTAATAACGCTGTATTTAAACTTGCTCTTTGCATTACATACTACACAACACAATGTACTTCACATCTACTCAACTGCTTACATCTGGATATGGCAGAAGTGCATCAGAAGTGTCGCTTTGTCGGGGCTCGGTTGATCTGACCACGTGCTCAAGAAGCGCGATCGCCAAAACGGCTATCTATCTCAGTGCAACAACTAACGAGCCGCCTTTGAGCCGATCCATGCAATGCTGATCGATCTGTCGCTTGCGATGCTCTCCATACCCAGTGATGAGCTGTAGCGCTGGCTGCAGACGCCATGTTCTGACCCAAGAGCCGAACGTCACCTTAGACGCGGCGGGCAGGAGCCCAAGGAACAGCCGGCGGCACAAACGCGCCCGCGGGTCCGTAAGCGCAGCGACAGCCGCCTCAATAAGCGCAGTTAATCCTGTTATGATCGCTCATCCGCTCGTCGCTGCATGGTCTTGAGTCGACCCTTGTTCACTCAATTAGTGCTGCACTGCTTCGTGTGCGCGCCGCTGTTATCTCCTTGTAGCCATTGCAGGCCACCTCTGTTTCCTTACATACTGGGGTCACCCTCGGACAGGGGCATTCGAAATAAACAAGTGCGCGCACCACTGATCACCACAACGCTGCCTGGAGATTTGCTATCCACTTCAAACTTGTTGATTAACACCATTGCGCGGATGCCGTCGTAGCGCATGACCGACGTCTTACCCGGTGTATGCGCCTATCAGGAGTTCATATCAGTGCATTCATTGTGAGTTGCGAGCTGCAGACTCTTGACTTCTTCGAGCGCATCACCAAAAATCACCAAAGCCACAGGACTGAGCAGGGTATGTCGGCCACATCGCAATCATCGTCTCCGAAAAGGTCTTTCACAGCCGTGAACAGCGAAGGCTCGTTGCGGATGGCTCGTGAACCACTTGCCCCGAGCGCACGTCAACGCCCAACTCAACGACATGAGCGACAGCCATGTGATCACTACGTCCGGAATGAGAACATCTCTAAATCAGGCGACCCCGCTAGTACGGCCTCGCCTCCTGGTAGCCCTAGGAAAAGACAGCGTTTCAGGTCCCCCAAGGAGAACACAAGTGCAGCAGGCCATCAGCACCGTCCACTGCTTCCCATAGATCAGCCGAGCGATCATGAACAAGGATCGAACGCCGATCCTCAGCAGTACGATGGCGATAAGGAGATGCGCGACTCACAGCCCATCGGGGCAGGCCACGACAACATGCCAGCAAGGTCAGCTCCATATTCGTCTACGGGCGAGGTAAATGGAGTCGAGGCAAGAAGCTTGACGGACGCTGGCCGAACGGCCGTGCAGTCCAACCTTAAGAGAAGGAAAAGGCAGTTTGCCAGTCGAACCAAAACTGGCTGCGGAACATGTCGAAGGCGGAAGAAGAAATGCGATGAAGGGAAGCCCGAATGTATGTTGACGTTCGCGGTAATGCATAAGAATGAGAACAGCTTGGCTAATACTCAACGTAGGTAGCAACTGCACTCGCACTGGGCACTTGTGCGAAGGCTATGCTAGCAAGGTCCCCTGCCAGAAGAACCATACAAGAAAACCTCCATCTCCACCGCAGGCTCGAGAGCAAAGAGATCGTGAACCGACTGAGGTCTATCATAGATGTCCCGGGCGCAATCAGTCCTCCATACCGCACTGCGCATCCACGCACAGCAACGACCAGCTGTATCCTGATGCCAGTGTCGATAGCAGGCTTATGAGCGCTCAAGCCCAACCCATTGTTGTTGAGGAGCACGAGTGTAGATCACTTCCGCCCATCAGCTGGAGGAGTCGCTGGAGCGAACCCGCGCGTTTTTCTGATCCCAGATGGTCAGCACCCTTACCTGCGCAGTGTTCTCAGTCATCAATGCCTACCCTTGACAGGACGCTGTCGAACCGATATGTTGTATCTGCATCACTGGTACCCCCTCCACGATCAAGCGTCGGTCAAGTGTACGACCATACGTTCCAGCGCATCAGCGGGACCGCCAATCACACGCCTACATAATATCGTTGGGAGCGTCGGCACTCGCCTGCGGCGAGTGTCAGCGCAGCTGACGTAGCTTAATAAGCTACGCCTTGGCACGGATAATAGCAAAGTAAGTGGGTGGTGATTAGATAATAGGCCCCACATTAGATCGTTTAGGATAAGCACGAGGTCGTGCTTACTTAGTGGAGATAAAGAGACCAATGGCGAATCAGGAGTCATAGATAGCTATTTACTTTAGGAAGCACTTGATATTAGGATTCGATGATTATGCTTACGCTCACAGGTAAGATAGCTATCGTCTAAAGAACTAGTTACTAAATATGTATGTTTGGTTGCATCGCTATCTTGCCTAACGTGATATAGAGTGGAGTTTACGTAAATCATAGTAGAGATTCGTTTCTCTAGCATCTAAGCTAAGAAAAGTTCTTAGGGCTTTACTTACCTGTAACGATGTTACAACTTCGCCAAGTATCGGACCAATCCCAGAGCCGGATCGGAGGTAGCATTCGCCGCCCTCTTCATCAACCACTCGTTGTGAGGTCGGATCCGAATCGGATCCGACTAAGATAAGTATATAAGGAGACACTCCCTGTAGCTAGCTCTGTAGACTTTTGATATCCTTTCGTACAAGGCCTATAGGTGTCTATTCGAATCAAGGCTCGTTTGATGTCCCACGCACTCCCATATGCCTCTGAGTGACACTACCGCCGATACTGATCCGAGTAGTCTTCAGACTTGCTATCAGTCAGGTAACTCAGTTTGAACTGACTGAACTGACTGCCAAGACTCAGTTCAGTCAGTCAGTCCTCGAGGCCGCTGGACATCAGTTCAGTCAGTTCAAAAGCCATCAGACTGACTGAACTGACTGATGTTGAACTAACATTAGCTCTTTTTAGAGCAGAAATTTGTAGCCGTAGTAACCACATTTAGTGCAGCTTCAAAGTCGCGCTAGTCTTAGATACATAACTAAACCCTAATCCTATAGCTAACTAATTAACTAGTTCTTAAGCTGAGATATGTAGCATTAAGCCAATTGGAGCTCATAGAGCTGCGCTAGCTACATTTAGCAAGCATTTCGCGTCGCGTCGCATCGCCTATGCTATACATACGACGGTATTAGTATAGTTACTACTGCTGCTATAATACTTTGTCACAATCTATGCAAGGCCGCAGAAGTAATAACCTTAGCTAAACCGAAGCAACAAGCCACAGTGACGGCAATAAGGATACACTACCTCAACAAGAAAAAGCAATCGCTGTACATTAGAAACAAATAAAGATGGCAAATAGCAGAGACAATACATATAATAATACACCGCACTTATATATACGACATACTTTTATCGTGTAATCTATGTCTACTCCCTCTAATTTAGGTCTTCGCCGCCTTGTAGAATACGATAAGCGCAATTCTCCTCTACTATCGCTATCGAACGCGCCTACTGTTGGCGATACTACGAGCGAGGCACAAGCTGATGAACTTGTGACGATATATGCGGATTTCCCCAACGATGGCGACGACGATTACGACGGGCTTGATTTCAAGCGTGTACCGTACCTTGAGCGGCGCCAAGTTGAACGCAGTAGTCGCGGTGGGCCAAAAAGCTGGATCTACCGCCACGGCTGGGCCGTCTGGCACCGCAAGCACAAGAAGAACTACTGGCTTTGCCGGTACTGCCATCAACAACGGAGGCAGGAGGCTTGCTATGAGGCTGACAGCACTACAAACGCCGGCCGACACCTCTCAAGTAACAAGCCTGGGCACTCACACGGGCCCAACGGACCTATACCAATCGCTAGCCGGGAGGGTAATATTATGGGCGCGCTTGCAAAGTCCCAAGTACATATTATGAGGTCGAAAGGGATAGAGGTATCGCAAGGGGTGGCAAACGAAATGGCAGCAAGCTTTTCAAACTCTCAATTCCAGGATGCCTTGAAGGACTGGGTAGTCGCGGACAACCAGAGCCTCCGCGTAATAGAAACGCCGGAGTTTCGAGCCATGATTGCGGCCGTAAGCCCGCTAGCCGAAGCCCTCCTTTGGCGTAGCCACCAAACGCTCCGCGATCATATTATTGCTGAGTATAACGCATACATACCAGCTGTTGCCAATTACCTTCGGGAAGCCCGGTCACTTATTCATGTGTCATTTAACAACTGGACTTCCACAGGTGGGCAGTATGCTTTTACTGGCCTCTGCGTACATTACCTTAATAGCGAGGGCAAGCTAGTTGACCATCTGCTTAGGTTGCCTGAGCTACACGGAGCGCACACTGGCAGTAATATTGCCGCTGTTGCAATAACAATACTTCGGCTATTTGGCATTAACAACAAGAGCGTTGGGTACTTTATGCTTGATAATGCAAGTAACAATAATACTGCAGTTGAGTCCTTAGCAGAGGAGTTTGGCTTTATCGCAAGCGAACGGAGGTTGCGGTGCTGCTGCCATATACTCAACTTAGGCGCGCAATTGGTAATCTGGGGTAAAGACAGTAGTGCGTACGAAAATGACGCCGCCCACCTTAAGGACGAGGAGAAGTACATGGATAAGTGGCGTAAACACGGTCCTATTAGCGTCCTCTTTGACGTAATTGCGTCTATCTGCACACCTCAAACTCGACAACTACTAGAGCGCCTACAGCGCGAGGAGGCAGAGTCTTTAGGTGTTACACCTCACATCCGACAGCTTGTTAAGCCTGTCAAGACCCGCTAGAATAGCTATTTTAGCACGTTTGTGCGCGCAGCTGAGCTATACGGGCCTATTAATAGCTATATTAAGTCTAAAATTGAAGAGCATAGTGCTGCAACAGCACCCTCGCGACGCCGGAAGAACTGCGAGCAGCTGCCCGCTGCGCAGCCCCGACTATACATACGTGAAGGCGGTCTAAGCGGCAAGGATTGGGCGACAATAGCAGAGTACATACGACTTCTTAAGCTATTTACTGAAGCTACAAAGCTACTTGAAGGCCGCGGACAACACGGCCGCCACGGCGCTATTTAGGAAGTTCTAGTAACGTTTAAGTGGCTTCTTAACCAGCTTAAGGCTCTTAAAGACCGTCTTAAGGATGTGAATTACGAAGATCTAGACGCGCCTGAAGATTATCTTATTACGAACATCAACCTTGCGCACAGTAAGCTTGCTAAGTACTACGCGAAATTTGACGACGCACCTGTCTACTACACTGCTACAATACTACACCCGCACTACAAGCACCACCTCTCAGCGCTCTAGAAGGTACCTAATACCCATGTTACTGCCCGTGACGGTGTTCACTATCGTGACGGCTAGCTAGACAATAACTACCGAGCATTCCTGCGCATGTGGCAGGGTCGGAAGGACGCCGCAACTATTCCAGCTCAGGTAGTTACACCGCCGCGTAAGAAGTCCCGGCTAGGGTTGTTAACGTCGCGATCAGCTTTTCTATAGTCGTCGATTGAGCAAAGTATACAGCAGGTAAAGGCAAGCCTTACGGAGGACGAGTATGAGATTTGGAAGCGGCAGCTAGTGTTAGCTGAGGAAGACCGGCTATCTCTCCACCCGCTTTTATACTAGGAGTCAGTTGCTGGGCAATTCCCTATACTCTCAAAGCTTGCTATCGACGTTCTAACAATACTAGCGGCAGCGGCAGACTGTGAGCAGACTTTCAGCGAGCTTGGCGACATGTTAGGTACGCGGAGACTCCATATGAAGCCAGAGCTTATTTCAGCTTTGCAGAGTTTAAAGAGCTGGAAAAGGCTTGGTATACAACCAACGACTACATCGGCTCTAGGGTCAGCGCGGACACTATCGGAGGAAGAAACCTCGAAAATACAAGAGCAGTTATCTCAGTTTAACGTCAGGTAACTCAGTTCAGTCAGTCTAGTCAGTCAGTTTGGTTCAATTGAAAAGTCTTGGCAGCCAGTCCAGTCCAGTCCAGTGACCTCACAACGTCAGTTCAGTCAGTCCGGAGCTCTTTAGACTGACTGAACTGACTGATAGCAACTCTGGTCTGGCTTGCGTCCATGCACCATCTCAAATGGTGTTTTCCAGTCCCTGCGTTGTACTGGAATTCGATTGAGGAGTCTTGTAGCGTGTGATACTATATGTGGCCAGAGCCTATGAGGAAACTTGCTCTGTATACGGAGTTTTCGGGCAGTGGCTATAATCACCCCCCCAGAACGTTCAGCAAGACCGTTCTGCTCTGGAGTATCTGCTGGAGATGATCGAAAAGTGATGCCTCTAGCTGTTACTAGCTCCTGCCAATCATTTCCAAGTCCTTTCTCGCCATCTGATTGGATGTATCTTGTGACAAATCCCCAGTTGTTGTTTGTTATTGCTAGGAATTCCTTGGTCACTGACACCAGCTCTTTCTGAGATTTGTTTGTTAAGTTGAATGAGATGTGATACGCTGAGTAGTCGCAGTAGAAGTGGACGACCCATGAGTCAGCGTTAAATGCTTTTTCCATATCGATAAGATCCATGTGGACTTTCTCGAATGGGTAGCTCCCCCTCCAGGTTGAAATTCTTGATATTTGCTGGTAGTGTTGTGCAAGCTCGCATGTCTCGCAGAGATCTGAGTCTCGCTCAAAGTTTTTCGAGCTTAGCTTCGCACCATGTACAGCCTCTGGTATATGTTGTATGGCTTCTTTGCGAATGTGTCCTAGCCTTGCGTGCCATACATCCACTGAAGCTGTTGATATGTTTGGAACTCTTGAAGACGCATACGCGTCTTTCCATGTTTGATTGCCTTGAGTCTTTACAACTCTAAACGCACCATGCTTTTCCACTTCAAATGCTTTTGATCCGTTCGAGAACTCCATCCAACACGTTCTTGTGTTAAAGAATAGTCCTTGTTTTTCCAAGACATGCGTACTTATTAGGTTCCAATGGAAGCCAGAGACATGCGCTACGTTCTTGAGCTGAATTTGGCTGTAGCCTGAAGTTGTTTTGACATTAACCAGTACAGTTCCAATACCCTCAATATGCGTGTTGGTGTTCCCAAAACGAATAATCTCGTTGTAGAGTGGCTTGTAGTGAACAAAGCGTGATCGGTCATTGCAGACATGTGTGTCTGCACAGTTATCCAGACGAAAATAGTTGTCAATGCTGTTGTCTTTCGTGACGCTTGATGCGAATCTTAGCGTTGCAAAGGAAGCCCTAGGTCTAGCTGATTGGGTGACAGCTATTGTGTCTGAGCTAGCTTGGCTTGTTGCTTTATTTTGCTGGCTATTCGCGCTTCCGCTGGGCCAAAAGTCTGGCAGCATCGTGTCGTTGCGGTGGAAATTCTTTTCAATCTTTTCACGCAAACGTTTGCTTCCCGCTACTGCAGCAATTACCTTAGATTGGATATGAATCTGCGGCTTCCATTTCGCTGGTGCCTTGTTAGGATTCAGATACCAGCAATCTAGGTAGTTATGCTGTATTCCACAGACACAGTCTCGAAGAGGAGCTACTTGAGTTTTAGAGGCTGAACTCGATCCAATCGCCTCTCGCTTCCGCCTGGGCTGGCCATCCTCCTCTTCTGACGTCTTGGGGTCACGACCGTGCTTTCTGCCCTGAAGCGTTGCGTGAGCTGCGCGACCTCTGGTGGATTTTTCACTCGGAGGTGCCATGCTTCTGAACTGCTTGATGCAGAAGCCTATCGTGACCCTGTTATCAGAGAGTGTTGGCTTTAGCCTACGAAAGGATCTGAGGGTCTTGTTGATCTTGTTCCTTGCTCTCTGCACTGCTGGAGCATCAACTTCGTCGACCGAGTCGTCAGAATCGTCAGAGTTGAAGTCATCTATCGATATAGACCTATGACTTGCTTGCTCTGGGCTTATTGTGTTCAACGCTTCAATAAGCGCGTCGGCAATGCCCTTCATGGCTGCTGTAGTCTGGTGTATGATCGAGGCTTGACTTTCAGTTTGCGCGTCTTTTGACTTCATGTAATTATAGAATGGTGGATTAATATCTCGACATGCTTCAATGAATGCTTCGCATATCTGTGGTTCACCAAGGTTCTCGATATTATACCGTTTTGCGCTGTTGACGAGTGTGGGCCAGCGTCCTAGCCATTTATCGATGCTTGTGTTGCCAGGACCTTTGCGGAGTTTTTCAAACTCGTTTCTGATTTCTTGGCGTTGGTCCTTTGCGTTGGGTTGTATGCTGTCTGATAGAGCGATAAGCTTGCTTCGCACGTCATGTTTGCCAAGATAGTGTTGCTTAAATTCTTGACAGACTGTGTAGTCAATCCGGTCTGAAACTTTGTCATATTTCTTCTTTTCGGAATCGAAGATACTCTGCAAGCTCTGGAACTTCTGGATAGTATCCTTGCTTGCTGAGTCTGATGGTTTTGTGGAGGTAAAGACCAAATTCTCAATACCCAATGGATCGCAGTACTTCCAAACGTCGTTTCGTTTAGCGAGATCCTCGATAGAGTTGTACCAATCGATCCAATCACTGCGATTGTTGAGCATTGGCAGATTGTGATCTTTAATCGACATGATTGGTTGTTGCGATGTTTAACAGGTGCGGGGTTGCGGATCCGCTCCAGTACTTGCAAGGGTTGTAGTTAAAGTTTGCGAATAGGATAGCTGTATCGCAGGAAGAAGGTTAACCGGGCTCATAACTGTCGCACTCTTTGGTGCGTGAGGAAAAATTGTGAAGAGGATTAATTCATTTTGTCTACGTCGTCTCATCTGCTTATATAGAGGCTATCGGTCATTCTACGGTCAAACGGTAGGTGATATGATCAGCAAAGTTCATGCTTCCGACAGCTGCGCAGTTTGCAACAATAACACATTGCAGCTGACTTGTTTAAGTCCAGAATATCAATACCAGACGTACACGTCCCAGACTCTAGATGGATTATCATCCCAGAATAAGTAGTGAAGGACCGAGTGCAACCATAGCATTCGACTGAAGGTTTCAGGTGCACTAGCTTGTGCTATTAGCTATTAGAGCGAGGACTGAATCAGGGTACGAGTAGTGCGTTCAAACACGGTAATACCCACATGTCGCAGGTTGTTGAGGCTATCGAAATGACGCTCGCATGTCGTACACACATTGTCATTCCTCAAATGGTCCTTGTACGCTTGGCTATCCGGTATCCACCACCCATCATCGTCACAACCATCGCACATAATCCTATGAAGCGTGCTGCGATTGTGTTGTACTAACTCGTCATAAGAGGAGCCGTCGAACTGGCAGACATCGCAAATGTGGTGACGAGCCGAGGCATCATAATGCTGGTCTCTTGCTCGACCGGTATCGAATGTTCGGTCGCAACGGTGGCAGTAAGGTTTTGTACGAGAACTAATATCAGCATAGCCTGTGTGGATAGCAGTCATAATGTCTAAACTATGTTAAGCAGAGAATGAGGAGTTGACTGGATGCATGGCCAAGGTCTGCGGGGCTGAAGTAAACCCGCCCGCCAAGATTCCACACAACAGCTACAGTGGTATCGTGCGTCCTTGTCAGCCGCCAGCCTTGCGTGATACTTTGGCTTGACCTCGCAGCGGCTGAATGGAGTCATCACGAATGTAGCGCAAGCCTGACCGATGCCCAGTACTCAGTAAATGCCATACCCGCGCCTTCGCATTTTTTAGCCTCACGCCTACCAACTCTGACATGTAGGTAAATAAATCATTGCTAACAGCGCTCGAGTATTCGAGTTTTGAAATCTAAACAAGCGCCAGCAGTCGCTATCGAATAGGGTGTACTCTCCCAAGCGTCACGCTGCTGCCTAAGGTGGCCTGTGCGTCGTCCTTGTTCTGCGTCTTAGGCACGTCGCGCCCGCCCTTGGGTGTTCATCCTTCTTTGAGTTGCGCGTCGCTCGATTGCCGCAACACCATAACATTCCAACTTTGCCTCTTGCAAACAAGTTTGGTCATGGCCCCAATTTTTCCACCCCCTCCTCCTCCCCCTCCTCCTCCATAGTAAGCTTATCTTAGTTTCTTCTACATTTCCCTTTGTGCTAACAATAGCCCTGTCAGTGGCGCCCCCTTTCCTGAAAAGCCTGCTATGCCCGTTATCTTCGACACCGACCTCACTACTGTCGTTGATATGACGAAAGCTAAGAATATCGCTGTGCACAAGATTGACAAATCGATTTGGCACCTGCAAGACTCTGACCGCATACTCAAAAGAGGGCCTAACGTCAAGGTCGCAGAGGCAGAAGCTTTGCGTTTTATTGCCTCATCAACCCATGTGCCTGTTCCAGAAGTTTTCGGCGCTTACGAAAAGGATGGCTTTGGTAATATCTTTATGTCTAGGGTTATTGGAACACCGCTGCATGACGTTCTGCATACCTTTGACGAAGCACAGGTAGAAAGAGTGACTACACAACTTTCAGGATTCGTCCAGAGCTGGATGGGTCTACGTGGTGACTTTTTTGGGTCTATGGGCTTTGAACCGTGTCGAGATGTCTTCTTTCAACATTTACCTGCCGCAAACATGCCAGACCGGGAATATGGCCCATTTAGGTCGCGTACAGAATACTGTAATGGGCTTATCGATGCACTTCGAAATTCCCGGCCTTATGGACGATTCGATGCCAATGATGCGCACCAGATAGAAAGAATCCAGCGTCTTGGGGACGGGTGCGCTGTATTCTGCCATGGAGATCTTACCCCAGACAATATACTCATTGATGACCAACTTAATGTGGTTGCTATCCTAGACATGGGAGTTTCAGGGTTCAGTATACCTGAACGTGAATACTTTGAAGCAAAGTCGCGCGCTCGTAATTCTTTGTGGTCTTCCATGATCGATTAGATAATCCCAAAGATACCGGATAATACTTATGCCTTACTATTAGAACTTGAGCGTGAGCTGGTTCGATATAGTGGACTATGAGGTTTACCTAATCCAGATCTCCCTTGTCACTCCAATTCTACCTTCTTGCTGCGGTCCATCTCCCACCCACTGCTGCTGCAACGTCTTTAGAAGGCTTCCCGACGATTCCTTCAATCCAACCTGAGGTACCGGTAGGGAGTAATTCCTCAGCTTCGAGTGCAATCACACAATCTAGAGTCTAATCTTGACATCAATCCTGCATTAATTAGAATTATATCCAATTAGCAATAGTGTCCTCACTTTATTATTCCGTGGTGCTGGTTCTTTTGATATGATATCAACAACCTAGTTGTACTTTGTCAGTTCAATGTAACCCAAAAGTACCCTCCCTTCACAAGTCTGGCTTTCTAGTAGGTGACCGCTTTAAGTTTCGAACTAATAAATCAATCCTTCAAAAGATATCAACTGTACGTGCAGGAGGTTTCCAACTTCGTTTCCCTGACGGAAAATCAGAAAACCCCAATAGGAGCGGTAGTTCGGGTCTTCTCCGTCCCCATAGATTCCGATCGACAACGTGTAGTACGACATCAGTCTCGCGCAACGCAGATTATTCCAAGCTTAGTATTGGGAGGTATTCAAGAAGATTAGAGAGGAGTGGAGGTCTGGCTGAACACGATAAATAAAGGGACTATGTTAAATACACGCAAAATGCAGCAGAGACAGATCTGGGATCATCTCCGCTTCCAAGTTCCTGCTAACTAATGCATCTACCTAGCAAGATCCAAATTCAGATCGAAGCAGGCGTCTCACCTGAACAAGGCAGCCCAGAAGGCTATCAAAAACGGGCGAATGACCGCAACTCCTCACAATGGCACCATCACCTATACTAGTATCCTAAACCCGAACTATGCAACCATCTCCCTAACTTTATGTCTAGGAATGAGGCACAGAAGCTGCTGGATCAGGTGAAGCTGTTATTGCCGCGCTTTCTCAAGCCAAGTAAACTGTTCATATTTAGGAGCAACCGCTTGATGATGTATAGCATAACAATTTCTATTCCGAAAATGACTTTTTTACTATAGGAAATCCACAAAATGGTACTATCACGATAGATAGGTTAGCTCCAAAAAGAAACGAACAGTTCCTGTCACCTCGGCCCTAAGTCTCAATAAGCGACTGATGCTCACTCTGCATCTAATTCGTCCTACCAACTGTGTGCGTTTATAATGATCTATATGCAGGTAATATGCGCCGCGCTGTATAGGGCTATTTACCCCTTTAGGGATTTAGAATGTCATTGCGTACCCCGTCCAACGACCTAACTAGTCTAGCTAAGACGAGTGGTATATAGTGAGCTTTCAATCCCTCTTACAAAATTACTCCTCTTCTAACCCGCAGTCCGTGCCTTCTCGGGAAGCCAAGAGAGTGATGAGTTCTCAAGATACTATTCTAGACGATACATTGTACCAAGTATGCATAGATGCTGCACGATTAACGATTATTGTTAATCATCTTAGGGATATCAAAACTGTCTACCAGTCAGAGATGATGCTGGTTACCCAGCTTCAGATCTAGCAAAACCAGCATCAGCAAGCAAGCAGTTGGGTGATAAGAAGAGCAAGGAGCAGCCTGGCAAATTCGCCTCGCGCGAGACCAAAGAAGCAGTCTCACACACCAACGCTAGTAAGTCTATCCTCCCTTTAGATTAAGTAGCGCTTAAAAATTATATAGAGCGCAAGCCCGAGGAGAGTGATACTAAAGTGGCAGATATCTTGGACGAATTGGAAAACATAAAGGGGCAGCTAAAACATACCTTAAGTGGTGTAGAGGACTTGATGTCTCGTCTCCGAGAAGCGCCCGAACAACACACTCATAGGACCTTGCATATGAGCGGCAAGCTCGTTAGATGGGTAGCTAGTACTAGTACCTACGGCGCTAAACACGATACACATCGCGCGAGGAAAAAAGCACGTAGATAATTCTAAACTTTGTAATAGTTCTTCGAACAACTTCTTTTAACTAGTTCCTACCTCAGATTTTCTCGCGGCTGCTTACTGGGAGGACTTAACAGAACGTTGAGAAAACAATAATCAAGCTTTCTGATGACGGCGACGCCATTGGCTTTGTGCTTTTACTAAGTGCACTATAAACACTAAGCTACTGAACCACCTTCGCTAACTTGCCGCGCTGAACATAATATCTTCTCCAAATCCTTAAATGTAATATCCGCTGTCTCAGTCATATCTGGTGATAAGTGTAGGGAGCTGTACTCCCAGCTGTTTTTCAGCTCAGCTTTCCTTTCGTACATACTACCTACATTAGGACAGTCATTTGTGTTAAAAGAACTATAACTGTAAGTTAAAGGTGACAAGGTACATATATTTGATGAGCTTTGGTTCAAGTATGAAGTTGGAGTTAATAGCTCGTGATTAGATACTGGAGCATTACTTGAAGTGCGTGGCGTATGGAAATTGGTATCTATCAAGGCCTCTGCTTTTGCTTCAGATCGACACAGAGCTATATAGGTTAGATATGCACTTTCTACTCAAAGATAAAGTTTTATTGCAGACTCGCACCCTTTTCAAACACTTCTATAGCTTCTAGGGCACGTAGCAGCTGCTTCTGTAGCGACCTGCTATCTAGCTCAAGCTCTCTGTTCTAAGGCTGTTAATAAGACGGTCTATGTTTGTACACTTGATCCCGAACCTGTCGTTCAAGAGCATCAATCTGGTCTTTGACCCTCTGGCGCGACCTTCGCTGACTCTCACGGTTTCTTTCTCTTTTCCTTGCAAGTTGGGCGGTTGTGGGTTTCATGATGTTTACAGATTTGCTTCTAATAACCACCTTTTCTCTAGAAAGATGCTCGTTCTAATTAGGTTGTTAGGGAGAAGAGTTGAACAAGATCAAAGTGGTGATTTCTGTGTAATCGACAAGACAACAATGATAATTAATAATTCTACAGATGCATCAATAAAATGATCCAGTAGAAAATGGAGATATGGGGTTAATGATATGGCTAGTTAACTAGGCTTTGTTGACCGCGCAGCGCTACCCGAAGAGACACGCGAATGCTGCTTAGCACGGATATCATAAGTCGCGCTTGTGGTATAGGGTAAGCGGAATATAAGCTAGGGTTAGTGTCTCGCATATGAGAAGTACTATGTAGAAAGCATTGATATTGTGGTTTAGTAGTAAATGATTTGTAGCGCAGCTATACTATGTATAGGTTATTGAGTGCTCGTAGGGCTGACGAGAGCCAAGCTTCTCGTGACCCTGATAAGCCTAGTTACACCGCTCTAATGCCCGAGGTTTTCCCTATTGTTATGATCCTCAAAAATTTGATAACAAGAGCTACTACCCTTAGTGGCGAGCTTACATAACCTAATAAATCTAACTATACCGCCTGCCTACTTATACTTCTCATAAACTGCAGCCCTGCGATATTGGGCCTTTTGCACCCTTGAAAACAGCCTATCGTGACCAAGTCGAACGCCGGAATCGAGGAGGCGTCGACGTAATTAGTAAAGAGCACTTTACCTACCTGTACAGTCTTGCATGGGGAAGAGCATTGAACTAAAGAAATATCAGGTCTAGGTAGGCTGCGACTAGCTTGTATCCTTTCAATCCAGACAGAGTATTGAAAGACATCCCGAAACCGCCAGCTGAAGTCCTCGTTCCTAAGACCGCCATTACGATCACTAACACGCATGACGCAATGCCTTAAACGCTTATGACACTAGTGGCGAGAGCGCTTACGTCGTTACACGATACGATTAAGCAAGATGCCGACGTGCTCGGTGAGACGAGAATGCACATACAGAAACTCGCAAATGCTGCCTAAAGCGCATTCGCTGAGCGAGTCCTCCTGAAAGACTGCAACCAATTCTTTTTCAAGATAAACAACGAAGCTAATGTTCGTCAATCGACCAGATTAGTTATGCCGGGAAAGGCAAAGATAATGAGCTTCAAAGACCATAAAGAGGCGAAAGCGAGGCGGGCTACAAATGAAGATGCTATCACAAAGAAAGAACAACGCAATCGTAAGTGTAAGGATCCTCCGCTACAAGTGCCCGTAGGTTCGCGAGCGGTTGAGGGTGAAGTAGTGAACGAAGCGCTAGCGACAACGAGTACTGCAACGCCATGGAGGGCTCTAATAGCGCGTATGTACTAGGTCAACGATTGCTTCTGTAAATTCATGTGATTACGAAGCTTGAGTTTATTGTCATGTGCTACACTCGTCTGTGCTAACGCTTCGGACTAATATCAATCGTCCTCATAGTTTGACCATTTGGCAAACCACCACTTTCGATTTGCGTCATCATTTTTCGCACATCTGAACCATTGTGTCCCATCGTACCTACGCCATAGATCGCTTCAGCCAACAACCGCAATTGCAGTGGCATCTTGTCATATCCATAATGCTGAATGACTTCATGTTTTGTCACTTTCTTCCTTATATCACTCCAGGCTCCACTCTCTCCAAAGATCACACACTCTTCGATCTTCTCCGGAGTCCACCATGGTGGAAGGAGGCCTTTGCATGCAGTTGCCCTGTTGAGGTACCGACGAAAGGGTTCAGTGCTGGTTGCAGCACCGGTGTAGATGCTTGGTGACGTGGTCTTGTTCTCGTAATCAAAGTCATCCGCTTGCCGGATACGAAAGGAGTCGATGAGAAGCTTAAATGTGTCGCTTTCCGGTCGATCATGCAGGTACGTGCCTTTATCGAGTCGAGTGAACGGATCGGATACATGTTGCTCAAGGTCGTGAAGACGAGGCGCGGCGTAGGGATTGGAGTGCTCGACGGGCTTAGAGCAAACTTTTTTGTGACTCTTATAGTCGGCCTTCTGACAGTCTCGACCACAATATAGAGCCGTCTTACAACGTGCACAAGCTTGGAGGCATGGGAGTCCTCTAGCATCGGCGGTGTTTTTGCAGTGGGCGCAGGTCTTTGTTTCGTTGGCCATATGAAATGAACAGCTTGAGCTACAAGCGGAAGATGTGAATTAAGTCTCAGGACTAGCACAAGCGCTATCAGGGTACGGGAGGACCAGTAGTGGGTTTAGTAATGAGGCTAAATGCCTAGCACGAGGTGGCGGCAAATTTCCGCCACACCACTGCTTGGCGTAATAATTTCCCATCTACCACCGTTTCAAATACACTACCACACACGTGACGTTAGCTTGTAAAATATCCCAAATGCCACTGTTTCTATCCCACATGCCACCGTTTAAAGCCTCAGCTAACGGGCACTTAGCCGCCTATAAGGGGTTTAAAAATAGCGAATCTAACGCCCCTGAGGGAAGGGTATAGGGCTTATGCAACCTCTCCCCAAAACTCCAAACATGACCGACCCTAAGGACTGCTTCTCTGATAATCTATTATCGGCCTTTAACCTCACAACAGACTGTTTAGACTCAACAGAACTACCTTATCGATGAACACTACTACGATAAGCCTGAGAAACGCTGCCCTACACGCTCTTGGATAGTAGACAAAGGCAGTATTAGTTTTATATAAAGAGAAGGGTTGAAAATTGTAATTTATAGTAGATCTAAATCTTTCTATAGTCTCACAATTGGCCTATTCGAGCTCTCTTTCTTGATCGCGTTGATAGGGCTGGAGGCTCTTCGCTTTGGACACTACTCTCTCCATTCGCCATAGGTCTTTTGTCTCTACTAGGTGGACTTGATGTGACATTATGGGTGATATGTGGAATAGATCCAGATGTCGCGATTGTAAAAGTATCGTTCGTAATAGTAGAATCCATATAAGTGACTTGTAAAGCGGCTAGATCTACTTGAGAGCCGCTGCTACTTTGCTGTTCATCATCTAGCCGTAGCTGCTGATCTACAATTGGCTGAAAGACTGGCGGTTTAGGAGATGTGGGCCGCAAGGTTGAATGTTCTGCTTCCGCTGTAGATGCCTGTGCTATATGAGGTTGACCGTCTTCATTGTTTCGGTTCTCGTTCACTGCTTGCCTAGCAGCTCCAATTCGCTGAGTCTGGTGGCGCTCTCTTATTGCCTCGATTTCTTTGAGGGATGCTTGTATAGCTCTGATCAGTTGCCACAAGGTATCGTGCTCTCTTAAGTCTAGAGGTTGGGAAATGAAAGATAGGGTAGACACGGTTTGATCAGTAAGTTGAGATGATGCCTCTTGATTAGATATAATCTGTTCGGAACAGCGCTGGATAGGTGTAATCTGAATAGGACGATTTGAAGCATCCGGGTGTTGTTGGAAATATGTTGCGCCTGATTGATATCGGTTTCGAGCCTCATCCTGTTGCTCCTTCCGACAGTTTGGTGATGCTAGATTTCCAAGTCTCCGGGCCTCTGTCTCCCGGGTCCTTCGCTTCATCCTTTTCTGGACCGGGCGACCTCGCGAGGGAGCATAAGGAGGTGGCTTTGTAACTCCATCAGGTTCGAGATCGTCCCGTAAAACCGGTAACAGAGAGTATTTATACTGCTCACGGTACTCAGATATCTTGTAGAACTTGGCAATATACTTCTCAAGTTTAGTATTAAAGAACCGACAAACGGCAATCGCATGTCTACAAGGAATTTTGTGATCCTGGAAAGCGAGACAGGAGCATTTCTGGGCTTTGAGCTGAACGAGACGAGTGTTCTGGTCCCCTGGGTTTGCTCGGTATGCTAGAGCTACTATATTCTCGCGCTCTTGAGGAGTCACAAGGTACTGGTTACTCTCCTCAAGCTCTTTCCGGAAATATGCCATAGTATAGTTGGTATACTTCTCGTCTTTCTGGGGGCTATGACGTCTTTCGTAAAATTTCGACATCATATATGTCCATATATGATGTAGTGAATGGAGAATTGGTAATTCACGGGCCTCCTATAGCTTGGTCTTAGTCGGAATAGAACAATAGGCTTTCTAATAGATTTACTTACCATCCATGCGCTATTTATCGACTTGGATATATTAGAATAAGTTTGACCAAACCGTGGGAAATCGACTAGTGGTGCATGTGATGTTGCGTAGTGCTTTGCATTGAGTTGATCCAGGTAGCGACGCGCAGGAGCAGAAAGAGACTCAATCTGATCCAAAAAGGCTTTAAATTTAGCCTTAGTCTCGACTAGACAAGCAGCTCTGAATATCTTCTCAACCTTTCTTCCAAATTCGTTTCTAACATTCTCTGCAAGATGTTGCGTGCAGTGATAGTGGAAAGCCTTTGGTAAAGCCTCTGCAACAGCTGGAACTAGACCTTTTGCTCGATCGCTAACGATTGTAAGATGCTCAAAATCGTCTCGTTCTTTCTCGGTAGTATCAAGGTTGTCGAGAAAGTATTCTCTGAAACCTTGTAGAAAGCTGAGCCACGATTCTTTAGACTCGTTTCTAGCGAATCCCCACATTAATGGTAGGATTTCCTCGTTAGCGTCAAGTGTTGTAAGAATAAGAAGAACTACGTTCTTTTCTGACTTCATATGGGCACCATCAACACAGATAAACTGTCGGGAGTGCCAAAATGCATGAATACAAGCCCTCGGTGCTACATAGCACCATTCAAAGGATCCATCATTATCCGTCGAAATAGCAGCGTTCGCCATCGAAGTAGCATAGTCTCCTTCGTCGTTCACATCTATATCTATATCAAGCCCGTTATCCGTGATTGTCCGAAGGAATGGAAGGATGAGCTGGAAGGACTTCGTCTTGTCCATGAAGGCACTCTTTTGGATCTCCTTCTTTGCGCGCCACGCTTGTAGGTACGATATCTGATTTGAGTGCTGAAGTCTTTCAGCAGTCTGAATCTGGCGTGGCCTCGTCCGAAAGTCGCTCTTAACCATATCTCCTTGTCGGTGGGCAATGAGCTTTGCACATCTTGATGCTTTCCAATCTTGATGGGAGCTAAGATCGCAGGTGTGAGGGACCAATTTCCGAAGCTCAAATTGATCGGATCGATTCATGTAAGCGATCCGGAGGAAGAATTTGCATCTAGCTTCCTCGCTCAAGCGGCAGATAGCGTGGAATCTCGTCCGATCGCTGGCAGCTACTTTGAATGAAAGTCTCTGGGTTACCATAACGTGAAGAACCGACTCTTTTGCTTCATCAATTGACACGAATGTCTGTCCGATAAATAGAGTACTAGGCAAATCCCTGGAGGATGCCATCGTAGTCAATTGTCGCTAGATTTTGTGTTAACCTCGCGTTAGAACGCGTCGACTCTTTAATCGCGTCAGACGCGTTATGAACCGTCACGGCTTTAGCCGGGCGCTGAGTCTGACGCGGATAACAGGAAGCCCCACCACCTAACACTAAAAACAACGACATTATACAGACTCTCGTGTAAAACTAGTTTGTCTACTGCCTAAAAGAGTCTAGGGGAGGTGCGAAACCTACTAATAAGACGGTGGCATGTGGGATAGAAACAGTGGCATTTGGGATATTTTACAAGCTAACGTCACGTGTGTGGTAGTGTATTTGAAACGGTGGTAGATGGGAAATTATTACACCAAGCAGTGGTGTGGCGGAAATTTGCCGTTTCTAGAAGCTTCTACGGTCAGATACTCAGTCTCACTACTGCAACACGACCTTGGCCGCCGTCGCTCTACTAAGAGACAATGCAGCAGTAGTTACTATCCTCGTATCGGCCCTCTTCCGGCCAATAGTTAATTAGGGTTTTCTTTCTAGTCAGTGTTACTCCACCGCCAAAGTCTATCCCTCCGCAACGGATATTAGATGAGTCAGCACTAAACACAATCACGGTATACCCTAGCAATAGCTTCTTAAGCGCTTAGGCCCCTAAAGCATCACCAGCTCCGTTACGTAGCATTAGGGGTTCGGCTTCACCGGCAATATAGTAATATTTGACTTAGTTGTTAGTAACGTCTCTGAAAGACTCTATCAGCACTAGCATACCTAGGATTTATGCTGCTAGTTAGCGCGTAGTCTGTCTTGTGCTATGCTAAGGGTCTAGAAGAGAAAGTGTCCTACTAACGTCTGTCCCTGTGTGAGGAGAAACTCTAACTAGTAACTACCCCGCAGCTTTCTTGCAGGGTCTGGCCTGTAATACGAGTAGAGGTACGGCTAGGTCTTATGTAACCCTACCTCTACCCTACCCTTATGTTACAAGTAACAAGAAGGATTCTCTCCTTGACAAGAGACGAGACGGCTGGAGGCCTATGGACGTCCACGTCAGAAGGTAATGATCATCGCGGGGCTTGGAGTCACGTGATGTGCCATCCCGCCAAGGCTGGCCATCCGGGATGGCAGTGCAGAATGGGATGGCAGTGCAGAATGGGATGGCAGTGCTATCATAACCATCCCGCCAAGATGGGATGGATGGGATGGCAAGACTGGAAGCAATGAGGATATAAGGATGGATGGATTTCATTATTTACTCTCGTTGTGGTCAACTCAAATTGTACTTTCTTACTAGTTACTTTACTTAACAAGATTGTTACCTGTTAGTCTATTGAATAGATTAATAGTTGTCGAACCTGTTGCCCCCTCTTCTACCAAGCACGCCACTCCACTGTCTTGCCAGACAACTTTCACGGAACACTAGCGTAAAGCTCACCGGCCTTAGTGTGGGACCCGGCAAGAGAAGTATAGATCCCAACCCCGTGTAACACCTTACCCCTATCTATTTGCCGGTCTAGTGCTTAGGTGTAGACATCTATAAATACTCATAAGACTTAAAACCTAAAGAGCAAGTCTCTCAAGTCTGACAAGTTTCGTTTTTTCTAGTACTGCAGTCGCGACTATGCAGCCTACTACTCTTATTATCATGCTAAGTCTAGGCGCTGTGGTATCAGGCCGTGATGTTCGTATTGTTTACTTTAATTAAATGAACATATCTCGCTAACGCAAGTAAAGCAATGCTTACATGCAAGTGGCCAAAGTGGAATTTGTTGTACCTTTAGGGGTGATAGAGGGCAGCCATCATGTGGCCAGGAGTGCGCCTCGGTACGTAATGTGCTTCTAACCTTTTTGCTGCCTAAACTTCGTTCTTACAGTCCTATTTAGTCTCGACCATGCCAAGTTAACCGAAATGGTTGCACTTATAATGAAGTGACGGAAGTAAACCCGCGTACTGGTATACCGAATAACTATGCGGCGTGTTCTTAGAGATGGGTTAGGCTTAGTTTGAACCTAATAAATATAACCGCCCGTCTAAAACAAGGCTATAGAGCTCTAAATATAAGCTATTATTACAAGACATCTTTTTATCCTTCTTGCAGGCTGTTGTAACGGCGCAGGCAAGACTAGGCGGATCAGTACCGGCAGTAGTGTCACTCAGAGGCATATGGGAGTGCGTGGTGTTACACGGGGTCTACGCTGGATAGGGAATACTTGCCTAGTCTCGATCCGGGTTAGGGCGAGACTGTAATATGAAGTAAACCGTGCGATTGTTTTCTGGCGATTCGTAGTGGAAAAGAGTTATGGATGTTAACCGAAAAGTAACAATCAATTCTATAAGAGTAGAATAACTAAGTATCAATCTGTGTAAGAGAAGAACTGTTGCACGCGTGGGTGCGGTGAAATTGATCTGTATTGTGTCTGCTATCTACCATCTTCATTTATGTGTAGTGTATAGCTATTGCTTTTTCTTGTTGAGGCAGTGCATCCTTGCTGCCGTTACAGTGGCTTGTTGCTTCAGTTCAGCTGAAGTCATTGCTTCTGCAGCCCTGCCTCGGCTGCGACAACTCTTATTCCAAGCCCTACGGACAGGCGTCTGTCTGATTGCGCACGTAATTTACAAAAAGCTACCCTTCTAGCTTATGTCGACAAAATCTCTTGACAAGTACTGATTAAGGCAGATAATGCGTATTTAGCAAATACATTAGATTCATAAAACTCTTAAAAGGCTAACTATGTTAGATAAATAAGATCAAAAGCATGTAACTTCGCGACCTAGTAATAACTATGCATGCTAAACGTATTATAAATTATTGACTATATTCTACCTACCAACCGCTTAGCGCCTTAAGTGACGATCGCGTATATGGGTGTTGGCTTCCAAGAATGCGCTGGCGCGACTGGAAGCATCTTTCCATCATCGTAAGAGCCTCCTCTCGACGATCTTGTGAATGCAGCGTATGAGCAAGATTGTGCATACTGGTCAGCGTATCTGGATGCTCGTCGCCAAGCAATCTCTTGCGCGTCTTCATCATTTGCATAAACAGCTCTTCAGCTTCCTTATACCTCCTATCATTGTACAGACTTATAGCATATTTCTATACAAGATCCGGCCTTTTCTTCTCGTCATCACCTGTCTAACTATGCGAGAGAGCATATAGGGCATGCGGAAGCAAGCGCCTCTACTTGCTTCTATTACTATGATTACCGTTCGGAAACACCTGGACCAACTGTGTGATGACGTGTTAAGTCCAATGTTGGAGCTATCTCTGAGCTTGTAGTCTAGCACGTAGGGCATCATGCACCAGCCGATGGACATCTAGTGCTAATTCGGCCGGGCGCCTGGTGATACACACACACACAATTTATGTATTTACGCCCGGCGGCCGAGCCGAAAGGGCTACTAACACTAGTCTAACTTTACACTTTCTATGTTACGTCTTGGTCTCCTTAGCCCATATGTCTTCTTTGGCCCCCTTCTTTATATAGCTTATTATCCAAGTCAAAGCCCTTACTTACTATCTTAGCACGCTTCTTCTCTATCTACTATTGTTCCTCATCAGATGCTCGTGGGTTAGTATTGCTGGTGGCAGACTGGCTTAGAGTCGGCTTCTCCAAGAGATTCTCCAAGTGTTCAACGTCCTATCTTCGGCGGCTGAAGCGCTGTCTGCTGTTAATTACACGAGACTGCTGATAAGTTTATGTTAGTGTCTATGGTTTACCTAGTGGTTAGTTAGATGTTAGTTTGCATCTAATCTTCGTGTTGCTATTGCGAATCGTATCGTCGCTCGCACTGCATCCATGTCTGGCGCCCATTTCGCGTCATCTGTCGCTGCTTTGCCGCCTAAGTAGAATGACATGTTTCCTCTGCTTATCTGCGTGTACTGCAGCATTTCCATCCGCTGTGTCGTCCACTTTCGGCAGCGGAACAGAAAATGCTCCACCGTCTCTGCTGCCTGGCCGCATTCGCATTGGTCTGTTGTTGATGCCTTAATTTAGTATTGATACGTGTTTAGCTGTGCCATGCCTGTTCTAAGCTGGGTAAGCACGCTGCTCTCTTTCCGCGAGAGCCCGTCGTAGAGTTGCCGTGTATGCTTTCCTGGCAGTGCTGCGTCGATTCGTTTAGAGTATGCTCCCACGTCTACTAGCACCTTCTTAGCTATGCCTTGCTTACGTGCTATGTTGTGCGTAGTTGATCGCATTCTAGGGAGCTGTGTCTGTGGCCTAGTGTTTGGTCTAGTTGCTATCTTTGCCTCTCGCTTGGCGAGGCTTGCGAGCTCACTCTCTTCGCTTGTAGGTAGCTATAGCACTGTTACTATATTACCGTCTCTTCTTAGTGTTTATACGGTTTTGTAGAACTGGCTGATGTAGCCTTGCCCTGATTGCTGGCGAGGTGCTCTGAGTGTAAGCACAGCGGCTTTGTTCCTTGTTATTAGTACTATATTGCGAAACCTTAGCTTTGGCAGCCTGCTTAACGCTTCAGCCATTGCTGCTAGCTCTGCTGAGTATAGGTTCTGTTCCTCTCTCTTGCCTAAAGTAACGGAGAAAGATTGTGTTTCGTTGCTTTGTATGCTGATCGCGCCTCTTATGCCGACTACTCCATTCCGCGCTGAGCTGCTTACGGCGATGCGTACCGCCCAGTTCGCCTCGAGGCTCTGTGTCGCGTTCTCCACTACGGTCTGCACTCTCTTCTCCTATGGTGCTAACACACCTGGCCGGATCGTCTCTATCTGCTCCATCTCTATGTCTTTGAGCGCTTCTGCCACCTGAAATAGTGGCGAACGGTACTGTCTTTTGAACTTTCGCATCCGTGATGTGTTTCGCCGTAGTGGGTTCGTCTTAGGCAGCGTATGGATGTCGGTCTATAGCTTGACTGCCCGCTTCTAGAACCGCTCATGTGCACTTGGGATGTGCGCCTCTGCCTCTGCTACCCATGTTGCCACCGTGCGGAACGTCCCGACGATCGCTTGTGCACATATTCTTTGCACCCTATTGATAGGTCTTATTAGCTTGTCTTTATAGACGTGCATCCACACGTTCGATGCGTAGTCTACTGTCGGCGCGACTGTTGCCGTGAACAACTGTCGTGCCACTATAGGTGAGAGCCCGCGCAGCCTTCTGAGTTCTAATGCTGTCTCTAGTCCCTTCGCAGCTGCTCTTGCGATGTGTTTGTGGTACTTAAGCCTGGCGTTTATGAGCACGCCGAGTATCTTAACGTGGTCCTTAGGCGATACGCTCTGCCCTTTGATGACGAAGGGTTTGGTAGTACTCTTATACGCCTTACGAGTAAAGTGAATAACGGCTGTCTTTTCTGCTTTAAACGTCGCTCTGCTTCTCCGTTCCCAGTCTAGTGCGTCTTGGATGATGGCGTTGATGCCCTCTCTATTGCTTTGCGCCGTCGGGCCTGTGATCTACGCAGTGAAGTCGTTAACGAACGCGATCGCGCCTCTATACGTGTCAATAGGTCGCTGTACTAGATCGGCGTTGAAGAAGAGAAATAGAATTGGCGATAGCGGAGATCCTTGCGGCAGACCTGCTTGTGGTAGTTCTTGGACCTTAGAAGCCTGTCTGTTGACCTGGATTGACGCTGTGCGCTCTGAGCAGAATGCCTCTACCTATCTAAGCAGCTCCTGCGGTATGCCTCGCGCTTTTATTCTCTGCAGTAATCTTTCCTTGCACACCCTATTGTACGCTCCTTTGACATTGAAGCTGATTAGGCTGATAGTCTGCCGACCCCGCCACGCGGTATAGATCTGTTCTTGGAGTAGCACGAGTGCTTGCTCGGCTGATCGCTGCTTGCGCGCTCTAAAGTGGTTGGTGGGCAGAAGCCTGTGGGTCTCTACTATGTGCGAAATCCTCTCTGCTACCACCGACTCTAGCACTTTGCCTAGCGTGGCTAATAGTGATATCGGCCTCCACGCTTTTGCGACAGTGTAGTCTTCTTTACCTGGCTTCTTGAGCGGTATAATCCTGGCGTGTCTCTATTGGCTGGGCAGCACTCTCTTCTCTAGCGACTGTCGGAATAGCGTAAGTATATGGTCTTTCACTACCGGCTAGACCTGTTTCTATACTATGATAGGCAGTCCGTCGTCTCTAGGTGCTTTCTATGACTTAGCGGCGTGCAACTGCCTTTCTACCTCCTCGAGCGTGATGATCGGCATTTTCACGGGTGCTCTCTGTGGCCTGGCTCCTTCGTCGTCGATGCTGCTAGGAAGCGGGGGGAAGAAGGTGCAGAGCAACTCCTCCGCTTGTTCTTTAAAGTCGCTTGTAGTTGTCCCGTCTGTTCTACGAAGTGCTGGGACTGTCCTGAACGCCTCGTTGCCCGCCTTTAGGTATTTGGCCGCATTCTAGATGTTATCGTTGTCCGCCAGGAAGTTATCCTAGTGCTTTCTCTTCTGTTGTCGAATGGCATTATGGTACTGCTTTGACGCTCCCTTTGCCGTCTCCTCTAGGTCCGGCCTAGCGACCCCTGTTCGTCTCGCGGCTCTCGCTTGGTTCCTCTAGTGCGTGTAAATGCGGCGCAACTGTGTTAGGTCCTGCGTCTACTACCTTTTTGCGTGTGGTGACGGCTTAGCTCTGGGTGTTAGTGTGTGCACCGCCTCTAGCACCGCCGCCATCAGTCTGTCGGTCCTCTGCTGTGTCGTGCCCCCTGGCGGCGTCCCGCTGAGCGCTCTAGCGATCCTGTCGTTGATTGCTTTCTACGGTGCGTTCTTGAGTAGAAGCTGCTCTTGCTGCTGCGACACGGGTACGGAGCTGTCGAAGACCGTCTCGATCATTTGGTGGTTGGAGCCGTGTTCGGTGTCGTGGGCGGCGCATCTTAGCAGCGTGTCTGCCAGCTCTTTTGACGCTAGCACTAAGTCGATTGTCGTCTCGTAGTCTCCGCACTGCCACGTCTTGGTGCCGCGCGGGAGTAGGCTACTGAGCGCGTGTTCTGTCATCAGATCGATGATCGGATCTGCCTCGCCCTGTCTGACCAGCGTCACATCCTCTCCTCCCCATAGCTGGTCGTGTTGATTGAAGTCGCCCGCCAGCACCACGTCCACCACTGTGCCGGCCTTTCTTCTCTCCTCCCTGATTACTTTGTCTAGCTTGTTGCATGCGTCTTGCAGTGCTTGCCGGTCTCCTCCTGGTATGTACACCGACACCACCAACACCCGACGCTCGTGTAGCCTATTGCTACACTCGCTTGCACAATCAGCTTCCGGTTGTGATACAGCACGCAGTTTCGACGTTGCATGTGCCTCTGTTGCGCTAAGCAAGCATTTTACCCGAGAAAGATTAGCGCATGCACAGCTGTGTATGCGCTAAGCCTTATCTAGCAAAGCGTTAACTTCGCGTGACAGGGGCCCTTGCATCGTCGAAACTGCGTGCTATATCAGGACCGGAAGCCGATTGTGCAAGCGAGTGTAGCAATAGGGGGCTACCTGCAAGCGAAGAGTGCGAGCTCGCAAGCCTCGCCAAGCAAGAGGCGAAGATGGCAACTAGACTGACTGCTAGGGTACAGACACAGCTTCCTAGAATGCGATCAACGACGCACAATATTGCACGTAAGCAAGGCATAGCCAAGAAGGTGCCAGCAGACGTGGGAGCATACTCTAAACGAATCGACACGGCACTGCCAGGAAAGCATACGCGGCAACTCTACGACGGGCTTTCGCGGAAAGAGAGCAGCGTGCTTGCCCAGCTTAGAACAGGCATGGCGCAGCTGAACACGTATCGGCACCGAATTAAAGCGTCAACGACAGACCAATGCGAATGCGGACAGGCAGCAGAGACGGTAGAGCACTTTCTATTCCGTTGCCGAAAATGGACGACACAGCGGATGGAAATGCTGCAGTGCACGCAGATGAATAGAGGAAACATATCGTTCTACCTAGGCGGCAAAGCGGCGACAGACGACGCGAAATGGGCGCCAGATATGAACGCAGTGCGAGCGACGATACGATTCGCAATAGCAACACGGAGACTCGATGCAAACTAATATCTAACTAACCACTAGGTAAACCTTAGCTACTAACGTAAACTTATTAGCAGCCTCGTGCAACAGAAGTAGACACCGCTTCAGCCGCCGAAGATAGGACGCTGAACACTTAGAGAATCTCTTGGAGATGCCGACTCTAAGCCAGTCTACCACCAGCAACACTAACCCACGAGCATCTGACGAGGAATAGCAGTAAATAGAGAAGAAGCATGCCAAGGTGTTAAGTAAGGGCTCTGACTTAGATGATAAGCTATATAAAGAAGCAGGCCAAAGAAGACATATGGGCTAAGGAGACCAAGACTAAGTAGAGAAAGTGTAGTTAGACTAGCGTTAGTAGCCCTTTCGGCTCGGCCGCCGGGCGTAAATAAATTGTGTGTGTGTAGCAATAGGGACTGTCAGCGACACTGCGTACGCTACTATACCTATCGCTGTAGATCGCCGGTACCACGTTTCGAAGCGAGTGTAACTCGTCCGAGGACAGCATCTCCGACTGGCTGTAGGTGAGCGGGGTATTTGTATAGGGATATGCCCAGGAGTTTGCGATCTGGACGCGTGAGAGAGATGGCCATCTCGACCCCTGAACGCGACCGCGACCGCGAAGCGACATCCTTACCAGCCGAGCTACTAGCACCACTGAAGAGACGCGCAAGAGACACCTCCGAGCAAAACGAACACTACCGCAGGCGACCCCTACAGCTAGACCTATCAGCCGACGACTCCGACACTATCCAGATCGAAAGCAGCCAACCTATCCGTCAAGCCAGGAAGAGCACCGCCACCAACAAAGATCTACTTACCGCGTTAACCAAAATCATCCAGCAGCAGAATGAAACGATCCAGAACCTCGAACGCGAAACAAGAGAGATTAGAAAGAACCAGCAAGCTATTATTGACCACAATGTGAAACTTATTGACGAGATTGCTGAGCTAAAGACACGCGTCGATGACCTCGTGGCAACAAACTCTGGTACGCGCACCTGGGCTGAGGTAGCGTCCTCAAGCGCACCTGCAGGACTAAACGCCACAGCCGCGCCGCTAGCAAGCCAGCAGCACGCTATCAGAACTAACCTCGCTTCTATCGACGTGCCCAGCGTCACCGTAGACATATCCAGGGCAGACGGTGAAAATGGCAGATTGTCAGCAGGGTCGGTCAGATCAGCTGTTGAAAAAGAGATGCGCACAATGGAGAACCGAGAAAACTGGCGGTGCCGGGCGGTCACCGTCGACCACGCGACGCAGAGCCGGATCAGGATCGCGTGCAGAGACGAAGACGAGCACCAGCTAGTCAAGAGAGCAGCAGAGAAGATTGGCGCAGGCTCGCGCGTGTTGCGCGATGAGCTCTACCCAGTCAAGATAGACAACGTTAAGAGAACAGCAGTGCTGGACGAGAAAGATGAGATTAGAGCGGGAGCAGCAGAAGCTTTTGGAGAAGAGAATGGAACAACAGTCGCCAAGATTGCGTGGCTAAGCAAGAGAGATGTCCCCAAGGCGTACGGATCTATGGTGGTGTACGTGACTAAGAAAAGTGACGCAAGGAGACTCATCGCAGAAGGCTTCTTCCACGCGGGCGGGGAGTCCGGCACAACAAGCGCATTTGAGCAGCGACCACGGCCAGGGCAGTGCTACAACTGCCAGGAGCTCGGCCACAAAGCGTTTCAGTGCCGAAAGGCGCAGAGATGCGGGAGATGCGCCAAAGAGGGCCACCACCACAAGAGCTGCAGCGAAGCAGTAATGAAGTGCGTATTGTGCGGAGGACCGCACGAGTCGTTCAGCAGAAACTGTCGGATGCTATACCCGCCTCAACATGAATAGAGCATTCCGCATAGTTCAGCTTAATGTTAGAAAGCAAGGCGAAGTACATGATAGCTTGATGAACGACGAAGAGTTGCAAGACGTGGCGGTGGTAGCTATCCAGGAGCCGCATGCACGGAGGATCCAGGGTCGGCTGTTGACGACGCCCATGCTCCACCACAAGTGGACCAAGATGGTGCCATCGACCTGGCGAGAAGGAAGGTGGCCGATACGGAGCATGCTGTGGGTGAACAGAGAGGTAGAGGCAGAACAGGTACGGGTAGAGTCGCCGGACTTGACAGCAGCGATCATCCGGCTACACGAGCGTCGGGTGTTGGTGGTGTCGGTATACATACCAGGAGGAGACCCGCAGGCGTTGCGAGACGCATGCAAAAAGATAGATAGAGTGATTGCGGAGGCGAGACGAAGGGCCGATACGGTGGTGGACGTTGTACTAGCTGGCGACTTCAATCAGCACGACCAGCTGTGGGGAGGAGAAGATGTGACGCTGGTCAGACAGGGCGAGGCAGACCCGATCATCGATCTGATGACAGAACACGCGCTCAGCAGCCTGCTCCCGCGAGGGACCAAGACATGGCAGTGCGGAGACTACGAGACGACAATCGACTTAGTGCTAGCGTCAAAAGAGCAGGCAGACACGGTGCTGAGATGCGCCGCCCACGACACCGAACACGGCTCTGACCACCGAATGATCGAAACAGTCTTTGACAGCTCGGTGCTAGTGGCGCAGCAGCAAGAGCGGCTTCTGCTCAAGAACGCACCGTGGAAAGCAATTAACGATAGGATCGCTAGAGCGCTTAGCGGGACTCCGCCAGCGGGCACGACGCAGCAGAGGACCGACAGACTGATGGTGGTGGTGCTAGAGGCGGTGCATGCACTAACACCTAGGGCTAAGCCGTTACCGTACGCAAAGAGGTGGTGGACGCAGGACCTGACACAGCTACGCCGCATCTATACGCACTGGAGGAACTGAGCGAGAGCCGTGAGACGAACAGGGGTTGCTTAGCCGGACCTAGAAGAGATGGCAAAGGGAGCGTCGAAGCAGTACTATGATGCTATTCGACAGCAGAAGAGAAAGCACTAGGATGACTTCCTAGCGGACAATGATAATATCTGGAACGCGGCTAAGTATCTGAAGGCGGGGAACGAGGCGTTCGGGACAGTTCCAGCACTCCGCAGAATAGACGGGACAACCACGAGTGACTTTGAAGAGTAAGCGGAGGAGTTGCTTAGCACCTTTTTCCCTCCGCTTCCTAGCAGTATCGACGACGAAGGAGCCAGGCCATAGAGAGTACCTGTGAAAATGCCGATCATCACGCTCGAGGAGGTAGAAAGGCAGTTGCACGCCGCTAAGTCATGGAAAGCACTTGGAGACGACGGACTGCTAGTTATAGTATGGAAGCAGGTCTGGCTAGTAGTAAAGGACTATGTGCTTGCGTTATTCTGACAGTCGCTAGAGGAGGGAGTGCTGCCTAGCTAATAGAGACACGCCAGGATTATACCGCTTAAGAAGCTAGGTAAAGAAGACTATACTGTCGTAAAGGCGTGGAGGCCGATATTACTGTTGGCTACGCTAGGCAAAGTGCTAGAGTTGGTGGTGGTAGAGAGGATTTCGCATATGGTGGAAACCTATGGACTTCTGCCTACTAACTACTTTGGAGCGCGTAAGCAGCGATCAGCTGAGTAAGCACTAGTGCTGCTCTAGGAATAGATTTATACTGCGTGGCGGGGCCGGCGGATAGTTAGCCTAATTAGCTTTGATGTTAAAGGAGCGTACAACGGGGTGTGTAAGAAGAGACTACTGTAGAGGATGAAAGCACGAGGGATACCATAGAAGCTGCTGAAGTGGATAGAAGCATTCTGCTCAGAGCGCATAGCGTCAATCTAGGTCAACGGACAGGCTTCTAAGGTCTAAGAACTGCTATAAGCAGGTCTGCCGCAAGGATCTCTGCTATTGCTAATTCTGTTTCTCTTCTTCAACGCCGATCTCGTACAACGACCTATCGACACGTATGGAGGCGCGATCGCGTTCGTTGATGACTTCACTGCGTGGGTTACCGGCCCGACGGCGTAAAGTAACAGGGAGGGCATTAACGCCATTATCTAAGACGCACTGGACTGGGAACGGAGAAGTGGAGCGACGTTTAAAGTAGAAAAGATAGCTGTTATTTACTTTACTCGCAAGGCGTATAAGAGTGCTACTGAGCTCTTTATAATTAAGGGGCAGAGCGTCTCGCCTAAAGACCACGTTAAGATACTCGGCGTGCTTATGGACGCCAGGCTTAAGTACTATAAGCATATTGCAAGAGCAGCCGCAAAGGGACTGGAAGCAGCATTAGAACTTAGAAGGCTGCGCGGGCTCTCACCTATAGTGGCACGACAGTTGTTCACGGCAACGGTCGCGCCGACAGTGGACTACGCGTCGAACGTGTGGATGCACGCCTATAAAGACAAGCTTGTGAGACCTATCAATAGGGTGCAAAGAATAGGAGCACAAGCGATCGTCGGGACATTCCGCACGGTGGCAACGTGGGTAGTAGAGGCAGAGGCGCACATCCCAAGTGCATATGAGCGGTTCTGGAAGCGGGCAGTCAAGCTGTGGACCGACATCCATGCGCTGCCTGAGACCAACCCATTGCGAAGAAACACATCGCGGATGCGAAAGTTCAGAAGACAGTACCGCTCGCCGCTGTTCCAGGTGGCAGAAGCGCTTAAAGACATAGAGATGGAGCAGATGGAGACGATCTAACCGGGCGTCCTGGCACCATGGGAGAAGAGAGTGCAGACTGTAGTGGAGAACGCGGCACAAGAGATAGAAATGAACTGGGCGGTACGCATCGCCGTAAGCAGCTCGGCACGGAACGGAGTAATCGGACTGGGGGGCGCGATCAGCATACAGAATAAGGAAAAATAATCTTTCTCTATTACACTAGGCAAGAGAGAGGAACAGAACCTGTACTCGGCAGAGCTAGCAGCAATGGCCGAGGCACTGAGCAGACTGCCGAAGCTGAGGTATCGCAGCATCGCGCTCATAACAAGGAACAAAGCCGCTGTGCTCACACTCAGAGCACCTCGCCAGTAATTGGGGCAAGGCTACATCAGCTAGTTCTATAAAACCGTATAAACACTAAGAAGAGACGGTAACATAGTGACAGTGCTATGGCTACCTGTAAGCGAAGAGAGTGAGCTCGCAAGCCTCGCTAAGCGAGAGGCGAAGATAGCAACTAGACTAAACACTAGGCCACAGACACAGCTCCCTAGAATGCGATCAACTACGCACAACATAGCACGTAAGCAAGGCATAGCTAAGAAGGTGCCAGTAGACGTGGGAGCATACTCTAAACGAATCGACGCAGCACTGCCAGGAAAGCATATACGGCAACTCTACGACGGGCTCTCGCGGAAAGAGAGCAGCGTGCTTGCCCAGCTTAGAATAGGCATGGCACAGCTAAACACGTATCAATACCGAATTAAGGCATCAACAACAGACCAATGCGAATGCGGCTAGGCAGCAGAGACGGTGGAGCATTTTCTGTTCCGCTGCCGAAAGTGGACGACACAGCGAATAGAAATGCTGCAGTGCACGCAGATAAGCAGAGGAAACATGTCATTCTACTTAGGCGGCAAAGCAGCGACAGATGACGCGAAATGGGCGCCAGACATGGATGCAGTGCGAGCGACGATACGATTCGCAATAGCAACACGAAGACTTGATGCAAACTAATAGCTAACTACTAGGTAAACTATAGATGCTAACATGAACTTATCAGCAGCCTCGTGCAACCGACAGCAGACAACGCTTCAGCCGCCGAAGATAGGACGTTGAACACTTGGAGAATCTCTTGGAGAAGCCGACTCTAAGCCAGTCTGCCACTAGCAATACTAACCCACGAGCACCTGATAAGAAACGATAGTGGATAGAGAAGAAACGTGCCAAGATATTGAGTAAGGGCTCTGACTTGGATGATAAGCTACATGAAGAGGCGAGCCAAAGAAGATAGATGGGCTAAGGAGACCGAGATGTACTTAGCATAAGAAGTGTAAAGTTAGACTAGCTTTAGTAGCCCTTTCGGCTCGGCCGCCGGGCGTAAATAAATTGTGTGTGTGTGTGTAGCTTGATTGATAAGATAATTTATATAGACTGGATTGGCTTGATTGATCTATGTATTTAGTCTAGCTTAATTATTGGTCTCAATCTAGATTGATTGTTGACAAGTCTGGTTCGCGTGACGCAAGCCTGGAAGAAAACATGCTCTATCCGCGCCGTCAGGTTGACAAGAGAGGAGGACTTGACCTTGCACGTACCGATGAGGCTTTCGCACTCCTCTACCAATACGGAAAGGACCTGTGTTCGTTGAGGACATGGCCGACTGAAGTTTTGCCGGTCTGCAAGGTTGAATCGACCTTGTGCGCCGCGAAGTTTGGTCCGGGAGCGAACATGTTGTCTAGAAGCTGGCAACATTCGTCCTTCGTACCGGCTTGGCGTTGGGCACAAGAGATTACCTAGGTAGGTACGCCGATCGTGAGGTAGAATCGAGATAGAAGCTTGGCGTGACCGGATGGCTAGCAACGACATCCGGTTGGGAGCAACGGCGCGTAGCTGAGGACGGAAGCCGGAGCAGTCGCGATCCGACCCTAGTATTCCCAGCGGAGGTTTTGGCGGATGTAACTCATCGAGGCTAGCGCCCCGCGAATGACTGAGATCCGACCGTTATGCCTGGTCGTCACCACTGAATCGCTTTCTTGTGTACTGATAGGGGTCCACCCAAGATGTCAAAGCGAAACGTTGGCAGGCATCATCCATGTCTGTGGAAGCCATTGATGAAGAGACAGGGTATGAAGTCTAACTAACTACCCAGGGGGGTTTTCGTCGCGGAGTATCTATTATGTCGTCCTCCCGTGCGAAGTGATATGGCCATTATTCGACACACATCCGCATTGCATCTCACGCCGTGTATTCGAGGACCAAGATCCCCGTCTCCAAAGCAGCTCTCGAATAAACTCTACGTTTACTTGCATCTTCGTTATTTCGATCGAGATGTCCTATCAGCAGGCAGCAGCAGCTGTGCTACTTTTACTCGAGATTGTACGTGTCTTCATTTCGATTATGCAGCTACCTCCTAATAAATTCCGCAGAGCGTCGTCAGTACATTGGGCATTGCAGTCTATCGGCTCTTCTTACATCCTCTTCGCAAGATTCCGGGACCGAAGCACCTTGCAGTTTCTGGAATCCCGTATATCGTTGAGAACAATCTATTGGGTATTTTCGCCAAAAAGGTCCTGAAGCACCATGAAAAGTACGGTGACATAGTCCGTACTGGGCCTAACTCGATATCCGTCGACGGAACTATTGGATGGCCTGAGGTCTATGGACACAGTCGTGGCGGTCGACCCGAATTTCCTAAATGGAAGCCCTTCTTCGAGCTCGGAGACGCGTCTTATACTTCAATCTTCACGGCCAATAGAGAGGACCACCGACGTGAACGCCGTATCGTGGCACATGCATTCTCGGATGCTGCAATTAAGGGACAGGAGGCGCTGATCATGCAGTATATTGACAAGCTCTTTGATCATTTCCGGAAACACGCCGAGCAACGTATACCAACCGACGTTGTCAGATGGTACAACTTTACGACTTTCGACATCGTTGGAGACCTGGCCTTGGGGGAGTCGTTTCACTGCCTAGACCAGAGCGATTATCATCCGTGGGTTACGATGATCTTCGCTGGCATCAGAGCCGGTTCTCAAATGCAAGCATTGATGAAGTTGCCGTACCTGAGTTGGATCGTAAAGCTGCTGATCTCCAAGAAGGACATGCAAAAGCGACTTGATAACAGGCAAATGAGTCACGACAAAGTAGAGCGAAGGCTAGCACTTGGCCCAGCACCTAACGATCGGAAGGACTTCATGACGTACATTCTTCGTCACAACGACGAGAAGGGCATGAGTCATGCAGAGATCTTGGGCAACTCCGAAGGCTTCCTCGTGGCTGGCAGCGAGACTACAGCTACTACACTTTCGGGCTGTACCTACTACCTGTCGACAAACCCGGTGGCTCTTGAGAGGCTTCAACAAGAGGTTCGGACGGCCTTCCCTACTGAGAGGGATATAACGATGCTTTCCACTGCGCAACTCAAATACCTGCACGCATGCATTGAGGAGACTTTGCGAATTTATCCGGCCGCTGTGGAGACGCCTCCACGTGTGTCTCCGGGTGAATACGTAAACGGTCAATATATTCCCAAAGGCGTAAGTCCCTCCACATCACATTGTCTGCGGTCCGTCATCCAGGAAAGGATGTAATGGGTCGACTCTCAAAGCTATTTAGGACGAATTGAGCCATGGCTAACAATACCTTCTAGACTATCGTCACAATCTTTCAGTGGGCCACCCACCACAACCCCAACAACTTTGTCCAGCCCGACTCCTTCATCCCAGAGCGCTGGCTTGGTCCTGACCATCCTCACCATGACCCACAGTTTAACGCCGACAAGAAAGCAGCACTCCAGCCCTTCTCTTTTGGCCCACGGAACTGCGTCGGCAAGAATTTGGCCTACAACGAGATGAAGGTTATTCTTGCTCGTCTCGTGTGGAACTTCAACTTTGTGTTACAGCCCAAAAGTCACGGCTGGCCGGATGAACAGAGGGTGTTCATCGTTTGGGAGAAGGGACCGTTGTGGGTTCAGCTGAAGCAGGTGGAGAGAGGCTAAGGGCGTGTGTTTGGGGTTGCTTGGGATGTGGTATATTTGTTGTTGGGTGTCGATAAGTTATCTTTTGTTAGTAGTGCGACGTCTTGTTCGATGGTGTGGTTGCTTTTGGGCTGAACCTCCTGTGCGAGATGCGCTAAGCTTGTATTCCACTCTTCAGGTTCTGTAGTAGAAAGCAAATGTACAGATTTTAGACTGCTACTTTCATTCTTGACATGCAACATAAGTTAATGTAGTTCACAAGTAAGCGAGCTACCTAAGTGAATAAGGCAAGCAACCTAACTAAACGTCTAATTAGCGTACGCGCTTTGGAAAATTGGTCCTGAGTTTCTTGAAGCTCGCCGAGAAGTTGATGACTTTGGTTCTGTAACTTTGCGTTCTCCCGATTCACAGACGCTATGATTTCTGCGGGCTCCATGTTGAAAATTTTGCTCGTACTAGATCTGGTTGAGTAATGTATAGTCCTCGTTGTAGAACTTAGGATCAGTGGATTTGCACGATAGATGGAACGGGAAATACTTTAATTTATCTCAAATTCTTCCCGATTGTGTGGCGCAATAATCAGGAAGGTTAGAGCTAAACAAGGGGAAATTAGGCAACTAATTTAGGCGTTGAGCCAGCGGTGAAAGGCCTGCACCGAACCCCTCGCCGTTCAACGCCACGACGCTTGCAATATTTGACACATATCCTGTTGAACATTAACTCAAATCACTTCTATTGAGTTGATCTAATTTGGGTCAGCCTACTGCTCCAGTGGCCGCTGAGGGGCAAAGCCTTGGAGAGCCGTCGACGTGTTCATACGGCCTAACCAACTAATATGCACAGACAACGAAAGCGGCAATCTTAATATTTGAAGTAGCTATCACACGCGCATTCCTTAGCGTTGCGAGTTGGTAGCGAACCTTCTCTTCTTCATATTTCTCATCAGTGCTAAAAACACAGGAGTACTTGAAACTATAGCTTTGCGGAAATCATCCAACACCCTATTTTCATCTACAATATTAAGTAGACTAGTTCCCGCTAGTCTCTTCTTAACCCAGTACTGTGCAAGTCTCACAATTGCATGCTCTGGTAGGTCATGTCTAGACCCGTACTGGTGCAGCGTTACCTGGTCACTGCCTTGTGTGGTGTTGACTTCTGAAATGGGTGGAGGCTCAACCTGAGTACTAGCGCAGTTGCCTGTATCGTTAAACTGGGGTTTGAATTGCCCAGTCTCTTCGTACAACCTTGAGCTTAGGTAACAAATTGCCTTTGCAATAGCAGAGTTTGCTTCGCAAAGCTGGTGAGTATTTACAAGCAGCGATTCAATAGGCGCCTGACTGATAGTTTGCAACGCAGCTTCGACGTCTTGGACCTTATTGAACATAGCAGTAGATGAGAATGTGAGGGGTTTTCTACATTTAGTGAATAGAGAACCTTAAATATACATACTTTCGGACTTAAGAGATAGGTCGTGATTTTTAATGCGACAGCTAACTGAGGCACACACAAAATCAAAGGACCTACACTTAATGAGATACCTGTTGGCAGTAGAAGCCCCATTTAGGTTCAGCCTCTTTTTCGTATACTCGATTACACCGATGGGACATCGCTAAAGCATATAACGTCTCTAATAAGTGCCAGAGAAGATATATTCAAGTTTCTGTTACCAAGTGAACTATAACTAATTTTTGGATGTATTACTCCAAAACACAAAATGACCAGGAGCGTACTAAGGATTGAGTTTTGCCTATACCGCCAATGTTGCAGCTAGGCGCAACTGAAGGATTGGGCTAATGTGTGGCCAGGGCATGTTCAAGAGTTCGAGATCCTGGGTTAGAATTCGACTAGTTGGTCGAAACCTGGACAATCTATCGACTGTGTGTTGGTAAAGATAGTTCACATCTTCATCTGAAAGCTGCAGTAGACTTTCTATGTGTTTTCCAAATGGGGCCGAACGGATAGCTTGAAAAAGAAGGACCGCCTTGGATTTACTGCGAATGATCAGTATTGGATACACATCATGGTAATACAGTAGTTAACTTACATGTGAAGTGTATTCACAGGGTTACCCATGATTACTAGACTACTGCTTATACCCCGAAATTTCTTGTACGCTTGGTTATCAACTGCACCGATACAGTCAAAAGCGATAATGTTGTAGAGAGTATATCTCGTCCAATTGTAGATGATATCGATGATACCTTGCTGGCCTTTGGATAGTTCTTTCCCTGAAACCTCTATTCGATCGACAAATTTCAGAAATTTCATGTACGGCAACAACAAGGCAGCTACACCCCCGTAGAACTCTACTCGTAGCGAAGCCATTGAATGAATAGTTGACGGTGGATCTTGATCATTCCAGGCCAATTGTGGGATGATACTTGATCTCCATTGCTCCATAATGTTGATCTTGAACTCTGCGGAGCTTGTGAAAGCGCACAGATGTTCATCATCGAAGCTTTCGATTGAAGCAAAATCTGGCGGTGGAATTCGCTTTGCAACCTTGAGTACCATCTGGAGCATTACCCTTGTCCAAAAAACATGATAATCGGGCTCTTCCACCGTCTTTCCAGGAAATAATGTGCTCTAGTCGTTAGAGTAAGAAATAGAACAGTTAATGCTGGCGCCATCATGAAAATCGCTAGGAAAAGAGTCAGACGGGTACTCAGACTCATTATTCCAACTAACCTTGCAAGAATCTGGAATATCCCAACGCTTCTCATTACTTCCTCGGAGAGGCATTTTCTCGCGGTCGAGCTGCTTGCTATTAGGCTAGTTTTCTAGGTAAGAATAAATCGTCTCACCTCTTGACAACATCTGCGTATATGGAATGAGCAGCGTACAGGTGTATCAAGCTACTACTAAGCATTCCGTTTTGGCTAGTGTAAATTGCAGCTAGAGTTGACGTTTTCGCGGAAGCAATGCTTCGATCCCTAAACTTACGCTTGAGAATGTATTGAGCCAAATCATAGTAGATTATGCCTGGTCTACTATCAGAGTCCCCTGTATACTCAGCATCTGGAAAACAGCTTCCTATTGCAAGAAACAGTAAAGCCTGGGCATTTTCGAAGCTTGTTTCGACAAGGTTGTTCCGCTCTGCTGTGCGACTCATGTCATCTTGAAAATGAACGTATATGTCCCAAGGCTTGTCGAAAATTGGATAGAGGACATGAACGTGATTAAGATAGACATCGAATAGCTGTCGAATTTTTTCGCTCGAAAATGCTTCCGATATACCTTCTGGCTCAGGATCATAGAGTGTGAGATGTGTATGGGAAAAATTTATTTCAAATGCCTCTAGCCGGCCAGAAAAATTGGAAACTTGATTGTTTGTATCATCGACGAGATTGTGTATCTTGAAAAGTGTCATCTCTTGACTAATGGAAGTTAGTATAAAACTGTGAGGAGGCGGAGGGTACTATACGCAGTTGGTGGTGTCTGGATATATTCGCATTTTCCATTGTCTTCATGACATCTGTTGCATGGAGACTCTCCATTGCATTTCTGCTTGCGTTCACGGCATCGATTGCAAGCTTTGGAGGTTCGATATCTTGAGGTTTGGCGTGTTTCTTGGTAGGCGTGATTTTGGTGGTGCTGTTGTTGGTTCGAATGACGTTGATAATCCATCTCGCCCAAAAACAAAGGGTACGATATAGCCGAATTTTAGAGATGTTAGGTGTCTGTAATGAACTAGAGATTTGTTCGAATTTCTTTGAAAGATAGAACGTAGTGTTGTTAGGACACAGCAATCAATGATAGTTACGATGAATGAAAAGCGGGAGGAAGTGCAACTTATAAAAGGGGGATATAATGCTAGCATGTGTACACGGTTAATAAACCAGAGCTCTCTAAAGAGCTTAGGCACTTATCGGCTAGATGTAAAAGTAATTGGCTCCATGTTCATTGCCCAAATCAGTAGGGAGATGCCACCTGTCTCCACATCACATCCTTCTTGCCTTAACCATTTGTCACTATAATACGTTTCAAGGGGTGCTTGGGACAAAATGGGCCGATGTTCTGCCTGAATAATCGGAATCAAGACATAGTGTAACCAGTATTCAGCTATCACCCACTTCCAGCAATTAACAATATCAATTTTCCAATTTAGTCAGAGGACACCCGTACAGGATGCCATATACAATGTTCCTTAAAAAGGGGTATAACACCAAGGAAAATGTAATGATATTACAGAATGATCTAGATATGAATACAATTGTTGACATGGGCCAAAAGCGTTGGAGAACACTCCTCTAACGAAAGCTCTTCGCCTACCCCGATTGGCAAATCATCTGGTAGGATACCGCAATAAACAGGCTCAAGAATATCCATACGCTTCTCCTGAAACTTCAACAACTCCCTGAAAGCCTGTCCACCAACAATGTTTTGTAGTTGATTCATGATGCGCTCGTGTGAAAGAAGCGCGTCAAGATCCACTCGCTGTAAGAGCATTACAGTATCTGACTGGGTTGCGACAAGTGCCTTGTGGCCGCGAACACCATTCGAAGTCGAGTAGAAAGAACGTACAGCGATGATTCCAGATAGATTCTCAGGAAGAACAGTTTTTGCCTGGAAAGGTAGTATAAGTAATTGGCTAGGAGTAGCATACGTAGGAGTAGGCCAGCTTACAATTGAGGTTGGATCATTAGCAACCAGATCTTGCCCGTTGTTGGCATCGGTGGCTTCTATCGATGGATAGAGAGAAGTCAGCCTTGTGTCTGGTGTACTAGGCCAGCTTGCAGTTGAGGTTGGATCATCTGCAACCGTATCTTGCCCATTACTGGCAGTAATAGTCTTAGTTGACGAATAAAGTGATGTCGGTCTCTTGTCTGGTGTCCAACGACTAGACCAAGAACGCCTCGGGGTTGGAACACATGCAAAGCATGATCGCACCCAATTGAACAATTTTTTAGGGCCTGACTGCATGGAATCAGATATATGTTCAAAAATGAATGTCTCAAAGTCCTTACTACGGTTGTATCGTGAGTCGACCTGCAACATTGCCTTTGTAACTCTACCATACTTTCCAATGTTTCTTTGTACGGTTTTGTAGCATTGAAATCTTTTTCAAGGAATTCTTCAAAGGTTAACTCCTGTTCTTCGTCTATGTGCCGTATCTCAGAGTTGTATCCCAAGGACTCCGAGATAGTTACTCGAACATAGTGGGTACTGCGACGGCAACAAACACCATGAAAGGCCTTGATATATGATTTCAACTGCTTGGATTCGATGTAAATATGTTCGATGGTGTCACCGTGCTTCGTTGCGTGGTATTGATATGGCTCGTGGCAGAGGAAGCGTTTTGGGCAACGCCTGCATTGGTATTTCCCGTCCGCTATGACATGTTAACATTTATGTATACTGAAATCCTAATGATAGGTTAAAAAAAAGTATCTCACAATCAGGGTAGATGACAAGGTCCTTTTTCAGTGACTGGTCCTCTTTGCGAGGTCGGTCCTATGAAACATTAGAATGAAAGGCCAACTCTTTTCGTCCTTTGAGATCTGGATAAAGAGATAGTGACAAATCACATACCAGAGATGCATCTGCAGAACCTTGAGCCATTTTTTCAGTAGATCGAGCTCGAAAGAAGGCAACCGGTGAAGGACATAAGAGCGGTGAGGCAATACACAGAAAGACGCCTTAGTCTTGCAAGAAGGGTACATGATATATGGATCTATCAGCCACAAGACCGGGACCAGGAAGTGGGGCATGTCAATGTGGGTTCGAGGCGTTTTCTGCATGAAAGGAATTCTTGTGGTGTTCGGATCGCACAGGGGAGCTTTGTTGCTGAGGCAGCTTCCCTAACGGATGCGTGGGTGAGGCCCTCAGGTGGCCGCCCGGGACCTTCGTATGGACATTGCCATCCTTGCATTAGTCCAATCCTCGGATAGCTATCAATAGCGAGGACAACGCGCGGCACTCATTACTTGCACTAAATGCGGGATTTGAACTACTAATGCTTGGATCATGCAGGTGCATGCAATGTGCTCTAAGGTGTGATACGACAGGGAGGTATGAGCACTAGGTGATAGGCGCATTCAAGCTAGTGATATTTTAGACAGCCAAGACAATTCCCGACACGATGTCTGAATCCTTCTTGGCACCGGGAGTAACTTTCGACAACTATATTACAACAAACCAGAATTGTGCCTATTGATTCCCAACTCACAATGGCTACACCTGTTTTGCCGGGTACGTCGGGGCTTGAATGTACCGTCATCGTTGGCCCAGAATTCCAGTGCAGTGCATCTCCTAACGGTTCTATCACGATACAGACGAACACTGGACCAATCATTATCTTTCTGCATCGAATTGCTGATCAAAGGAGGATTCAGATCAACCCGGTTCACCAGCAACGCATACCAGTAGTGCCATTTCTGTCTGAGACTAGTACCAGCCAAACAACATTCTGGTTTGCAGAAAACAGCGGTTCAGCGGACACACAACAAGAGAATAGCAATGACTTGCTCGGAAACCCTTTTAGTCGTGAGCAGAGAAACGCAGAAGCATTCAACAGCACGGCAAACGAACTAGAGGAGGGAATCCATGCCAGCCTCGGTGGAGATGAATACACATACCACAGTGTTAGCAGCAGTGGCAGTTTCAAAAAAATCAGCTCCGGGAAAAGGTCCAAACCACTTTCTTCGGACGAAGAGTTGAAAGAGTTTTGTCGGAAGCTCTCAACAAAGACTTTGGAGCAGTGGAAGTCAAGACATAAAGACGACCAGAGTTTGAAAGTATTGCTTTCTGATTGGAATACTATCTTCGGCCAGATCAACTATTCGTCTCCTGGACAATGGTCATACCAAACTATCATCAAAGCAGAGACACTTGGGGGTCTCCATCTACCATTCCACAAGATGATCCTCGCTACCTGGTGGAATAGTTGCTTAGAACGGCGAACTTCCGAGGTTACCGCACGTATCAAGAAACAGATGGTGTTAGCCTTAGAACCGGGCTTCGATAGTTTCGATGCCAAGGTCCAGGATTCAAAGCGAAAACAGATCGATAGATGCATACTTCAGGGCAATGTCATCACCCTGATGTTCAATCGAGCGCCTGGTTTGGTCATCACAGCTGCTCGTTCTATAAAGACAACCGAGTATGTGCCCATTTATCTTTTACACTACTGTGCTAACATTACCAGATACGAGATTTTGTGGAAGAACAAGCTCCATCCCAGTGTCTCTATGTTAGACTGGTTAAGTGAAGAATTAATCAAGGACTCACAACTGTACTTAGAACCAGTACTGACTATCCTTCATTTCTTGAGCAAAATCTTTAGTAAGCTAGATTATGCATCAAGAACGCTCCACCTACCGCTGACTTTCCTTTAGATATCCAACCGCAAAGCCCAAACCCACAAGCTAATTGTAGTCTTCCACAATCACGAATAGAACCCGAGTCTCAGACGGATGCCGCATCCTCCTCCTGTCGAGCTATACATAGCCTGAAAGAGCCGGTTCCCTCCTACCAAATTTCCCTATGCGGTCAGCAGCCGTCTGAAGACTCTATCGAAACGATAGCAAACACTGCCAAAAGACGAAAAATCTCCAGCAACATATGCCTGCAGTCCCCGAAGGTATGCCCAATCTTGATACCAGAAAGTAATGGAGGTACAACCCAAGAAGAGAGTCAACACTACTCAACAGACCCCTCCATTCATCGAGAACATTACAATCTGGCACCACTGTTCGAAGGGGCAAGCAATTCAGAGCATGAGAGAGTTAGCCCAACTTCTCTTGTAGAGACACGCGGGGACCTCTTACCGATCTCAGAAGATATAGAGGTAGGCCAGTGGTCCGCAATATCATCCGTTAATCGAGCTGACTATGACAAGGACACGAACTTGCCTTCTTATGGGTTGTCAGATTTGTTAGGACATGTTGAAACAAGCTATTGTTTTGGTAAAACTTGAATTAATTCAGCTACAGATTCAAAAGTTCTGACGCACGGGATTTCTTTTACCAAGCCTGGTTATGCTACTTCGACTTTAGATGTGAGACGGGGAACGAGAAGGAAAGGAGCTAGCGGCGGGACCATCTCCAAACTGACATTCTGTAGTACCAGGCAAAGCGAGTCTGACTGCAATAGTGCCTCGCTTTTTATTTTAGGGAGTGTGAGACTTTGCGTAAGAAGCTTCGTGTTCATATCTGTAATGCTGGCAGGTTTTAACGTGGGGTCGATCTCTAGGATGCGACGAATAATCGCTCTGTGTGTTTCCGTATCTACAGGAAGGCATTGAAGGAGAAATATTTCGTCAACACTTGTGTGAAGTCTGGCTTTGTGAAGCAGTAGTACCGCAGCCCGGGGATACGTATGTTCGTTCGGCTTCGGCTCTCGGATCACTGCGCCTGTTTCGGCTATGTTGTCTTTATATCCCTTGAACGTTGTCATTACTTGCAGAAATCTACCTTGACTATTGGCTTACGCTGTTGAGGATATCGGTGCGAAGACAATCAAATTCTGAGATCCACCTGTATGCAAAAACCCCGTCTTTCAGCTTCGTTATGCCCTGTAGATGTGATTGAGATCCTAGGAGCGGTGCAATCTCCTTGAGACGATTTTGCAAAGCTGGTGCTTCTACAAGTTTCGCGAGTAATCGCGCTCCGATATCCGCTTGGGTCGATGGTTCGCCAGCTTCATAAAGAGCCATTTTGTAAGTGCATAAAAGTGCAACTGGCAACGTTCGCGTTAAAGTGCATCCAGCGAGGTCTTATACCAAGGAACATAACCGTATGTTAGATGCAGTGCTATGTGGGAAGTGGCCGTGCACGTCTGGAGCCGGCCTCGCTCCGAAAACTTGGCACCAATAACCCCCAGATTGCAGTAGCTAGGAACACTAAAGCAGCTTATCACGTGCATTTTCGCCCCATTACAATTTTAGTATTTTCACCATCACGTGCGCAGCGTTTATGCGCTTAAATAGCTGAGTAACCTCGAAATCGATTCTTTCCGGCGCTGTCGGATAAACACCTACCACTAGCCAGCTAACGAAAGATAGCATTGTACACCTCGATAATCCCACCATCTCGGATAAGATAATTAGACACCATTTGTTACACGCTTGTCGCTACTAGTTAGGTGCGCCTGGGTACTGTCGCTCCGTAGTCCTAAATCTGCTGTTGTGTAGGAAGGATGAAGGTTAGGAGCTCTATTTGGGGGTTGGTCACGGCTATTAGGAGGGGTAGGCTGCTGTGAAGTAGCAGACTGGCCCGCTGGCGGATTGATATTCTGTTGGGTTGGTTCTTGAGAGTTGGACATAGTGGCTCGACGAAGATTGCTATTGAAGTTAGTCTGTGCTAAAAAGAAACAACCGTTGCTCCGACTCTACTAATTTGGATTTGGATGCTTCACCTATCATAGAGCAGCTGAGCCTTGGACCAATCCAGATACTGTCTCAGTCCTAAAAGAAATTCATCACGTACAGCAAAGGCCGCAGAAAAGGTGCGAAACGTATTGGTGAGCACTGTACTGAAGGGTGATGAAAATGAACCGGATATCAAGGGTGTTGAAGATGTTGAGGGGTTGAAGGTTTTAGAAGAGAGATAGCCTGAGCAAAGGGAATGTGGCAATCAAGGCGAGAAGAAGTGGCTTCAAGAAACTGGTGAACTGGATGTTCACCGCGGTCATTTATATTAATACCTACGACCCTACGCACGCTTCACTCTCCTTCCATTGCCTATGACCACACTTCCCCTGCACGTTGTTACGATCAGCCGTATTCAAAAGCGGTAAGCGAGTGCCATATCCTTGGACCACACCAAGACTTAAGTTCTCTACTGTCGCATCTTAGATGTACAGATGCTTGCAAAAAAGAAGGAGCTTGCAGACTAAATCGGGCCTCAGCGTGAATTGAGGCGGCGAACATGCCAGTACGCATAAGCTATTCGCGCATTAGCCTGCTCCCCAACATGCACGTTACTTATTACTTCTAAAAATGGTTATTTGAGTATGAGTATCCACTACGATATGTGTACAGCGTAGAGAAACCCCAAGACAACAACGTAAGAGTAGTAGAGGTAAGATAATTTTTCTCTGTATTAGATCTTTTCTTTCCCAATAGTAACTATAACGATTACATATTAGGAAACTCTTGTGTCCAACGAAAATGTAATATTGATGCTGGTATTGATGGTACACGATGGCGAAAGTATGCAATTAAGAGCGAAGCGAAGCAAAGCAGAGCGAAGTAAAACAAAGTAGAGCGAAGCGAAGCACACCAGGATCAAGCGGCCCATCCTATGCCTGCCCTTTGCGTTTGATGGTCTTAGCGTCGAGTGAGACCTGTCCAACGCAGTAATCACGCCATTTCAAATCAATCCCACGATCCAATCGTAATTAATCACAGATAAATCGTATTCTCTAAGGCAAGAACACTAAATCCACGAATGGCCCCTACACTCATTCCGAGGTCATGCATCTAAACATTGCACGTGACCTTGCGCATTCGGAAGGTGGGGCTGTCGCCGCCTGAGAAACTCTCATATGATCTTTTTTGGGCACCAACTCGAATGCGTGTACACACATGTGTTCTCTTACATAGCCACCCGTCAACCTATACACCTAACGTAGTCTTACAACCATCGCATAAAGTAAGCGATCTTATTTATACTTTAGACTATGCTAACCTCATATTGCGCATCTCATAGCTATCGTTCCGACAGACCTAAATCACTACCACTCGAACCTTCGAAGCATCTGCTTCGTTGCTCCTTGTGTCTACCAGGAAGAGCTGCTTTGTCGCGGATTGTCCGACGATTATCCTACAACTTAGCTGGTTCTCGCTTTGGCACACGTTAAAAACATCCGTCTACTTAAGCATCGGCCGTTGGAAGATCTTAGTGTCAATCAGGTTGTGCGATTCGCAACTTTACGCTAATGCCTGAGGTAGGATCAACTCCTCAGCACACTTTCCAACGTCTATCTAATGAACTTTTTGTTAGAAAGACCAAACCACCAACGGAGATTACGAATACATACACTATCACACATTTGAAGCAGTCGATCATGACAGATCTATGTCTTGGGAAGCTGGTAATGGCATGGTACATGTTGGCGTGAAGGTCATGAAACCGCAAAAGACCGATATAGACGCACGCGACGTTACTCTTCTTGAAGGGCAAAGTGCGATTGTTTACCAGATGAAGTTCAGATTAGCTAAAAAGGCTGCTACTTAGGATATGCTTTCGACCATATTTCAGTACCCTTTTCGAAACTAATTAATATTGCCAGTTTGCTATCATGATTAAGGTCCTTGCCATTAGGAAATGAGATCCTAGCGGCGCTAGTGCGTGATATGTTCCTGTCCTCTTCCGACTTCCTGAATCTGCTTTCTAGCATCGCCCCATATAGGTAGTTCCCTAGTATGGTCTTCCACTCCTCGATCGACGTCATGTAGTTTACTTGCTGCGCAATTGATTCCCCGAGTGGTAAACAAAGCCAGATCTCCAACCCAAAGTCGTCATGCTGTTCGGATGGAGGGAGTAGGCGCACAGTATCAGTAAACCTTAAACCCTTCTGTTCTTCTGCTTTCCTCATGCAACTTTCTTGTATGCCGTTCGAAAGGTAGACTCCAAGATAACTGCCAAGATGAATCAGGTCAAACCACTGCACTGTTCTAGTGAAGGCATCCCAAGGATTATCCTCTGAACGGCTTAACAGCCTCAGCAGACGGGTATGAGCGGCGGCAGAGGTGAGCCAATCTTCTCGATCCTGAAGATTCGGAATGTTTTGGGCCGCAAACTTCAACGCTTTCTCTATCAAAGTTTAGTTTTAGACAACGATAAGAAAGACAAACGTACCAAGGGTATCTGCCGCATCTTGTTTGATAGTAGTTGCGTGTTGTCCAACAGTAGCTGCTTCGACTGGAGGTTCTTCACAAACACTGATTTTAGTCGGATGATGCCCTACGATCAGTGCACTGGCGGCTTTAGTAAGTGATGAAGGATGTGAAGCCGTAGTCCACCATTGTTTAAGTCTGTCCATGAGGTTGCCATTGTTTCTCAGTTTTGCCATATTGCTGACCGACTTTGCTACTAAGATAACACATAGCAATACTTCAGGACCTAACTCCTTACGAATATCTATAGCAAGGCTATGCGCACGCTTTCGCATACTTCGGTATCCACCAGACAAGTTGCTCCAGGCCGATTCATTTTCCTGTAGAAGAACATTGACTCGTTCAATGGTATCGGTTAAAGGCTTCTTGTACGCAAGCTTTTCGAAAGCGAGTCTCGTACTTTCTATTTCTGCATAGAAAGAATTGTCTTCGAACATGCTGTGAGTGTCGAATTACCAGTATGAGAGAAGGTGAGAATTTCGAAGAGAAGTGAGGAGAAATGAAGAGAAGCGAAGTAGAAGAAATATAAGCAGATGAAAGCGAAGCGAAGAGAAGTAAAGTAAGGAAAAGTGAAGCGAAGAAAAGTGAAGTAAGGGCAAGTAAAGTGAAGAAAAGCGAAGCGAGATGCATAGCATGAGTTTACCCGTTCGACTAGAGCTAATGGGCTCTAGTCTTCTCAAGCGATGAAACCTGCAACTGCAGAAACGCGAAAAGTCATGCTATGCCAAGCTATAACTCTCATATTCACTTCTTCGCATGTTGCAGGTTGGCCAATTCTTTCTGTCTTAAACGGCTAATATCGCGGAACAAAATGCTATACTAAGGCATGCCGCACAGAATGCTTACCTTGGTATTAGCTAGTTAGGCATAGTTGGAATCACCACACGGGTAGAGTGACATGCTTCGCGCCTTCGATCGAACAAGGCTTTTCAGAATTTATAAATAGAGCGATGAGCACTCTAGTACAAGATATTTAGCAAATTCCATCTTCGATCACACAGGACATAACTGCCATTTGCTTGTCTGCATCCACAAGTGCTCCAACGCAAGAGCACCTTATCTCTACAATCTTGATAGCATGTTGGTAGAATCCATGTATAATTGTGGACCTTGTTAATTGAGATAGAAGCAACCTAAGAAACCGCCGAACAAATGTCAGCTAGTTCTGGAGCGACAGGGGTATGCACCGTGTGCGAGCATGCGAACAACGAGCACAACTATTATACATGCGAAGCCCGTGGCTGTCGGAAGAAATTTAAGGTTTGCCAGGCAGGCGGTCATCAAGGCTCGAGGAATGAATATGTGCTTTGCAAGGGGTGTACCGACCATCCATACGAGTGCTCCATGTTTGACGCAAAGGGGATAACGCGCTTAGGATGAAAGACAAATGTTGTGGGGTCTGAGCGTTAGGAGGGGTAGTCTCGATTCGGCAAGGTGATTATCATTTTGTGGGCTTCCGCATTGGTCTCAAGCTACTAGGATATATAGACTTTGCAATATCTAAGCGGTCTTCCTCCCTAATGTTTTCTGATGCTCTCTCAACCTCATTTCTTATTCAAGACGATGGACGATGAAGTTCGGATAAGCGAAAAACAATTCCGAAACACCTATGCGGCTGGCTTCGAAACCTGGGCTCAACTGTATTCTCTCATCGTTAAAGATGCGAAGCTTCCTAGTCACTGCTTTTTTACGAAAAACACGTTTCCTCTCTTGCCGACCTTCCCACAGAGCCTCGAGCTCGAAGAGCACTCTAACGGATTAACTGCCTCTGGATTCTCTACCTGGGGATCTTTACCAGCAAAATGCGCTCGCTGTATTCCTTCTTTTCGGCGTCGAGTACAGCTCGAGGTCGCGGTGAAGGACCCAGTTCTGCTTTCGATCTCCGATTTGGCTCCAACTGATTCGTATTCCACTTCGTGGTTTAATTCTCAGAACGACTATGTAACAGTCCTTGTGTTGGCGTGGACATACATCCTATCGGCTCGTTGGGCGGAAATCATGTCTCCTGCTTGCTCTCTCACCTACACCAACAACCTAGCAAAGCACTACGACGCAACAACAATATCCAACAACCCCCAGCATTTCATTGTCCTGGATATCGGTCCGGCAAGTCCAAAAGAAGTTCGATGGTGGGCTGCCGTTTTGGCAAAAGGCCAGGGCTGGCAAGCTAGTATTCGATCCTCCCTTTCGTCACCATGGTCGATTCGTGTCGAATCGAACTCCCAATTTCTACTCTATCCGAAGACAGATACTTCACACTGGCAGGACTCAATTTCAACATTCTCAGAAGCTTTCGGCTTTCTGAGTAGATTTTGTACACGTCACAACATCGTCGATCAAAGCCATGCCGCATTAGCTGCTGTCCTCCTGCTCCCGTATATGGCCGGTAAAACACTGCAGTTGCCGCCTCCTAATTTCAGCTCACAGAGAGCATCTATCGAGGGCCCGATTGATAGTATTAACGATTTTTTACTACCCCAGGCGACACTTGAGGGGCAATATCTCGATAGACTTCTCACGTTAAGCTGCAACACTAATGGAATACGACCCCTACTCCTCAGCATATTTTACGAACCTAGTATAGAATGTAACGCTGTAACACCCTGGCTACAAGGAACGCTCGCTGCTATCGAATCACTGGCTGGAGAAAAGCTGTCGATTTTTGGGCGCATGTGTATGGAGAGAAGACCCGAGGTAGCGTGCATCTGGCTAGGCAGTGCCATCTTAGGTCTTCAACCGAAACTCCTGCAGGATGTAAAATATGGACAGATACCGATCGACCTTGACTCCGCGGCGTGGACTGGGACAATCCAATCATTCATACAGCAACCTGTGTCTAGGCCGCTTACAGTTAACGGATATATACAGCGCGCCGACGAATGTCGTTTACTTTTCCTATGCCAGTCCAAGAACCATACTCGAACGCCGATCTGCCAATGGAAACCTTTTGGAAAAACCCCCAAGGATGACGTCGATCTCGAAGTCAAGGTCCACGAGCATTGTGAAGGCCATGGACTTCAATATCAAGAGTTTGTCTGGGACTGCACAGAAGGAGAACTAAAACTCCCATCATTACAACTATGTCCGCACGGAATTCAGGGTCAGCCGAGTATACGAAAAGCTCAGTGTACAGTCCCTGTTGTGTGGAAAGGGTTGAATCATGAAAAAGAGGCCATTTCAGAGAATGCTACGCGTAACATCTTCAGCTGGTTGCGTTCTGATGGGTACGCACCATGCGAAAAAGCGATATCCAAGCATGAATGGTTCATGACATATGATTCAGACGAAGAGCAAGAACTCATAGAGGAAAAAACTTCCATGAATGACTTGAAAGATGTCAAAAAAATTGAGGAGTGGCTGACCTGTTCAAAGGAAAGTCTTCTCTAATATTGAAATTGTCTGAGGTTCGCTTGGAGATTTCTTATCTTTTTCGTCGTATCATGTTCCCTATCATCAACACACTCCGTACGCGCATTGTTTCCTTCTCTTTTCTTGCTTTCAGCCTATAAATTTTTGAAGATTTCAAGATGTTTCCCAAAAGCCTCCATGTACATGTGATATAACTGCTCTTCTATACTCGCATAAATGCACAGATAAATGTAGTCAACAATTCATGACAATAAGAGCGAAGGCGGGGGCATAAATATGTGTTGAGTGTGCCAAACGTGCCATAACGCACGGACCAGTCAACAACTTGGGGAGCCGGCGTGGTGCCGAGTCTGGCTCCTTGGGCCTGCGCGTCGTCGCGTACATTTGCGACCTTCTCGCGCCATCGCTAAGATACATTACATGTTGCTTTTCATCATTCTTAGTTTTATCTCACTCTTTCTACATCATGTAGGGTTGTGAGTGGCTGTGTGCGCGACAGCGCTGTGGCACTTTTTGGCGACTTATGCATCTTCGAGGATGTCTACGCAGTCGCGTTCGTAAGTCATACAGTCTAAACCGATAGGTAAAGGGTTAAGTGGCTTTCGGAACACTTTTAATTCAATATGCAAAATATAGGTATTCACACTTCTTCGTAAGCACTTAATCAGGTAGGCTATAAGATAGTACAGGCTAACATCGTTACTACACGTCTAACACATATACAGAAACCCAGGACTTATTCGTTAATCTTCTTTCCGCTTTGCGAGCCCTCCTAGCGGCTCGATTTTTACAATCCCAGCATTAAGGCAAAACCCTCTTTTATAACCTCCTGCGGCTTAATGCTATAGTTAGCTCAGATAACTTTGACGCCGAACGAATACGACCTCTACTTAATGCGGTCCTCGAATTCCAGCCCGACGAAGTCGTCTGAGATAGAGTATACGATGCCGTCACTGAGTCGACGCCTCCACCCCGCCCTGCATCGTCCTTTTACCAAACACCCCTCTCCATTAATACGGGCAGTTTTGCGAACTCGACCGAGCACCGTTAACACGTAGACAATGTGCTGAAGGAGGAGTTAGGAGACTTATACATTGGCATACTAGGTTTCTTTGAAGCATTCTTCGGAGATTTACCAGATCTAAGACCGATGGCACAAGCTGTGTTTGACAAGTGCAAGGAAAGAGATAAACCACTCTTCCAGGTAGAGAGCGGTTGGCAGAGCTGGCCTGAGGCGGCGAAGGAAAAGGAAGCTTTGAGCTGGTTTGCCCCACTTACAGAGCGGCTGTTGGGCCTTGCAGATGGGTATCAGTCGGTATCTGGGATACGCCAGCGAACACTAGCACAGCCGCATCAGCCTCTACAAGGCTCCACTGCCGATCGCAAGTTGGACATTGGCTTGGTAGACGATCCGAACGCCGGCGTGAACTCGAAATGTCAATGGTCACATAGCCTTGTACCCGGAGAGCTCAAGAGCAACCCGTCAGCCGACAAAGCGTTCAAGGCGTGGCTCGGCCTTGGCCGATACGCGAGGGATGTGCTCGCTGCCCAAGACAGCCGCCGCTTTGTTCTTGGCTTTACCCTCTGTGGATCTCTGATGCGGCCATAGACATTCGATCGACTCGGAGGCATCGCTTCTAAGCAATGCGACGTCCACAAGGATGGGCTGCAGTTCGTGTCTACAGTGCTCGGGTTTCTCTGCATGAACGAGGAGCAGTTAGAATTCGACCCCACAATCATTACCATTGGAGACAAGCGGTGTATTGAGATCGAGCGGGAATGTGGAAAAGAGCGCCTCGTCATTGACAGATTGATAAAGCGGGTGCCTTGCATCGCTGGTCGAGTGACAACCTGTTGGAAAGCCTACAAAGAAAAGGATCCCGACGCGCCGCTTGTTGTCAAGGATTCATGGCAGTATCTAGAGCGCGATGAGGAGGGCGAGTTGCTGCGTGAGGCAATTGAGGTGGACGTGGTTAATGTGGCGAGATACTATCATCATGAGACGGTTCTTGTAGGCACGCAGGACAACTCCATCTGCGGGAACGTGCGACAAGGTCTTGATATAACGAAAGCGACAAACTACAGGCCAGGAAGCATAATGCCATATCCAAGCACAGTTCGCTCCCTCTCAAGAAAAGGCCGAAGCAGCAGCGCTACCGGACGGAAGCGATCCTCGAGTTGCACGAACGTATCCTTACCGCCTAGCAAGCGAATTTATTCTAGCTCTCCTGTAAAGGGAGGAAGAACAACAGTGGATCGAGGGCACCGCCGCGTTGTTGTCCGAGACTACGGGAAGCCTATATATATGGCGAGTTCCAGGGCTAGCCTTCTGGCTGCGCTAGAAGGCTGCATCACAGGGTACGAGTCGTTGTATACGCGGGCCGGCATGCTACAATGCGATATCTCGCCGAACAACCTTATGGTGAACGAAGACGAGGACAATCCCTCCTGGCATGCCTTCTTGATCGACCTAGACCTTGCTATCAAGGACGATCGAGAGAAACCATCAGGGGCACGAGGGAAGACTGGCACGCGAGCGTTCATGGCGATTGGAATACTTTACGACGATAAGCAGCATTCTTTCATGCACTACCTAGAATCTTTTTTCTGGGTGCTGTTTTGGATATGCATTCACTATAACGGATCGCAGGGAAGAGTAGTTCAACAATTTGACAAATAGAACTATGCAAACACAGAGGAGCTAGCTAAGCTACAGCTGGGCACAGTATCAGATGATGAGATTTTTCGTAAAACTATCCTAAAACACTTCACAGACTATTACCAGCCACTTATACCTTGCGTTGATAGATTGCGGAGAAAGATATTCCCTGGAGGCGGAAGGTGGAGGGTCCCGAATCCGAGGCTGTACTTGGATATGAAGGAGATCCTAAGAGCAGCACGGGATGACTTGAAGGAGTCACAAGGATAAGAAGACGTATCGATCAGCATGTACCATGTAAACTAGTAGAAATAACTAATGAACTGCAAGTATAGCTGACAAAGTAAAAGGGTTAGATAGTTATTAGATTAGGATAGATTGTAAGAAGCAGCAAGATGAATTTGCAGGGATGCACTACGCGCTATCCGACCATTTTTTCTAGGAGATAAAAATTCCATTTGACATAATGTGTAGAGAGTTGAGGATGAGGGTCTGTTCTAAGCCTGAGGGAATAAGCCTCCTGTGAACTAAAAGCGCGGGCTACAAAAATAGAACAAAGGTTCGTTCTCTAAGGATTAAATGTCAGGATAAGATATGTTATTTTTTTCTCAATCGGACCAAAAATCTTCATCTTCTGTACACTTGCCTCGTTTACAACCTTCACAATAGGCCCGCTCATGCGGTTTGGTTGGTTTTCCCTCGTAATCTGGTTGCACCACTTCTACACCTGCCCATTTTTTGATTCTATATGATACCCGCTTAATGTAAGATTCTTCATCTATCGCAAAGGTGCCCAAACAATTGCAAGACTTGCACCTCTGGTTATACACAATTGCGCTGTACCCGTTCCTGTCATATCCGCTTATTTCGATAGGCACCTTTCTGCTTGTCCAACACTTCTTGCCACATTTATTGTTGTGACACGTGAATTTTCCCATGATGTGCGTGTGATATCGATAGATGAAGTTGTCGTCGTCATTGTTGTTGAACCATGTTGTGATTATCTCTAGGAGGACTGCTTCTGCAATCTTCGAATGCAGCTCTGGGAACATGAAATATTCTCTCGTCTCTTGTTTTAATCGAAGCTTGTTGCTCTTGGCTATCTTCGGGAGCGTGGTAGTGATAGCGACTGGATTGGCTGAGACAAGTGTTTGGGCGCGATTTTGAAACGTGAGTGCTGATGTGTCGGGTATGGAACACCTAGCTAGGGCGGTACTCAATGCGACCTCATCTGGGTGCTGATTCAATGAAGCTTCTTGGTCGACCTTACACTTCAATCTATGGCGTATAAGTGCTTTCTCACTCTTGAACGGGCAGTTGCACGTCTCGCAACAAAAGGTCTTCTTATGTACTGGCGAGTTCTTTTTGTGCTGTTCGAAGGCTTTGCTGCTACTGAATGAGCGATTGCAAGGGACACACAAGTAGTTCATAGTATGAAAAGAATGTATCTTTTTGTTCGTTCTACTGTGAAAGGGATAGTTGGTCACCACAGCAATCGTTAATGCTGGAAGCGCTAGGTGTAAATAGCCTTTAGAAGAAATACGGAACGATATTGCACCTATGTTGTGTAACGGGGGGCTGTTCACCAGTCCAATAGCATAGCTACACATGTCAAATGGGAATACCCAGCGATCCTTGAGCTGCGGGGTAGATTGAGTAACGTCTGCCCCTGCGTGGCGGGACATCCTACGTGACGGGACGCCACAGACACTCCTCACCATCAAAAAACTCAACAACAGGTTAGAAGAATAGATATTCTCGGAATAGCAACCCTAATCTATAAAGTCGGTTCTCTCTTAATGTCTTTTGAAGATAGATTCTACGTACTATATAATACGATAAATTTTTATAGGCATTATACAATTGCCTTAAGTTAGCTAGTAGCTGTTACATGTAATGGAGGCGAGCACCAATGCCCGCTAAGTCGATACTACGCGACAACCACTTGGCCGCAGCCAACCTACCAGCAAAAGGTAAGCACGAGAATAATCTGAACTGATTATTCTAGTGTAGTATAATATATATATAGGCATGTAACATCGTTACATTACACGGCGCTATACCTCTCTACCCGGGTCCGCACTAAGGTCGGTGAGTTCTTACGCTAGTATTCCGTGAGGTGGTTGTCTGGCGATACAGTGGAGTGGCGTGCTTGTAGAAAGAGAGACAACAGGTTGAAAACCCCAATCTATATTGCTATAGACAAACAGGTAACAATCTTGTTAAGTAACGATACTAGTAAGAAAGTTCAATTTAAGTTGAACACAACGAAAGTAAATAATAAAATCCATCCATCCTTATATGTATCCTCATTGCTTCCAGTCCTGCCATTAGAACTTTGACCTGCCATCACTGATGGTTGTCTCCACTTCTGATGGTTGCCATCACATACTGACCCTGCCATCATTGATGGCACCGTCTTGGCGTGATGGCACATCACGTGACCTAGCCCCGCGATGATCTCTGGGTCCGAAACGCCAGCCCGCCACCAGTGTCCGGTCTACTTATTCAGTTTTTGAGGCTTGTTATCATCAGGATTATTGCCCGCATCTATGTCCTTCTCCCAGCATTGTACCCACATCTCCAACCTTCTTGGAGGGCCTGGGTGTAAAGGATTGGCCGCATGAAAATCCCGGAGTCTGTGCGGGCTATTCTTGAAGTTAGACGCATCGTACCACTCCGGATCCTCCTTATATCCTAGCCATTTGACACGGTACTGTAGCTTTCTGCGATGGACACGGGCATTGAGAATCTTCTCTACCTCATATTCGTCGTCGTCGTTCGCAGTATCCTGAATGCGCTTCCGCTTATGCTTGCGCGAGCGATATTCACTGCTGTCATCGCTGTAGCAGATTTTGGCATCGTATCCGCTGTACGGTAGTCCTGAAAGCGGTTTCAGGGCCAAAGGACGGTTGGAGAGCTGCCTGCTACCGGAGGGGGGTAGCTTTCGCCGCTTCGCTGGGCGCACATTGTGCTTAAGGCGCTGCTTCGATGTCGTGTTTGACGATCGAATGTGCCGCTTGGTTGGCGGGAAGCGTTTCCGCTTGCGGGTCAGCCACGCAGTCTGATTATTGCAATTATTGTGATCGCTATCGGTGTCGCTGCTGCTGCTACTGCTCGTGTTTTCAATCGTAGGAGGGCCGCCTTGCGTTGACTCTTCGATATTCATCTTCGACAAGCTCATTGGCGGCGTTGATGAAAATTTGCGACGCGGGAACCCACTCATTTGAGTCTTTGCTTTCCCAACCGCATCGGATTCGATAACATTCTCCGTGTCTATAGGACACTCCCCACCGCGAAGATCCGGGGCTATGATGCTCGAAACTCCAAGCCGATCGCGTATCTGCGTCCCTGCATCATTGTCGTGCGAGTCGCCCTCGTCTGTATCTGAACTGGGCTGACTGTCCTCGATAACAACCGTGTTTTCTACGCAATGTTAGAAATGGTGTGCAAGAGCTACTATCACGATCGCACCCGGGCGCTTACCTTGACCGATGTTTTCAGAAGGAGCTGGCTGATTTAAGCTCTCGTCCTCTATGCCTTCTCGAAAGTTTCGCTTGAACCCTTCGCCTTCACTTTCGTTCTGGGGCGCAAAATCGTCGTAACTGCTCACATCGTCATCTCCTCCACATCTGCTACCGCTGATCTCGCTGTTGCCTTCTCTAACTATATTTGTGTTAGTCATCATAGAACGCTGGAATAAGCATAGTATGGCTTCGCCAGCTGTAGGGATGCCTACCTAAGTATGTCAAGTCAATAACTTCGACTCCGTCCGACATAGGTACAGGATTTTCTTTATTCTTCAATTTAGTGTTGGATTTTAGACTCTCTTTGCTTGATAGGGCCTTTAAGGGGTTACGACGAGAGGTTTGCTTAGGCTTTGAAGGTCCACTGTACTGTATAATTTGGAGAGAATTTTGTGTATAAGGCATGGCAAAAGTATCAAAGAACAATGCCATCGCTGCTGCTGTAGCTCAAAGATGTGCTGGTGCTGCGAGGAAAGAGGAGACGTAGAGAGGTTTAAATAGGCAAAGATACCGCGCTTGAGGTCTCTCTTACAAAGTAAATCCTTCCGAAGAGCGCCCTGGAATAACCTTTAGCGCCTACCAGGCAGCAGCCCGTACGAGACCGTGCTGGAAACTGCGCGCCCTTGCCAGCGACATATCAGGATAGAGTCCAATCAGCTTCACGCCGTGTACTCAAACGTATCATGCGGCGAAGTGTCGGTGGCCATGCAGCCTTCGCATGAAGCTCCCTTCTTCTTGGACAGAAACGTGACCAAATCTCCCACCAATACTCGTATTGGAAATGAGAGCGTACAATGCACGTTGCTAGGCTTCAGGCTGTGCCACATGTCGCGCCGCCCCCTTTCTGTTAGAGCCCGTCTGCTAATTAGGGAGATCCCAACCGGGGGTTTTAACTTATCGGCCACTCCGAAACCCAGATACGGGCTCAAATCCGTGTTCAGACTCTAGACGTCAGGCTTTGGGCGGCGTGAGCCACACAGTACAGGGAGGTTGGCGCCCAAGCTGTGCTGAATGCTCACTCTAGCCTTCACTACCCCCGATATGTAACGCCGGAATAGGACACTGCCATCATGCAGGCAGTCACATGGACCCAGGCTCTACCAATCTGTGTTGCAGCGCAGTCTTGGAAAGTACATCATGACCGCTACCTGCATGGCTGAGTAGCGGGTCCGACTCTAGCTGCGGCTTTTCTGGCGTGACTTTTTGGTGAAACTGGGCTTGCAGTGACACTTAGAAGGTTCAAAACCAATCATTTCTCTAAGGCTACATGCCAACGTAACCTCGCTAGGTGTGCAGCTGCAGTTGTACCGGCTTAGTGCTTCGTGTTAAGGCGTGATCGGGGCATCAGAAGCCCCTTTGTTGCTAATCCATGTGATTAATGACGTAGCAGATCGAGGATGAGCAGACTAGGAGGGACATTGACTTTCGAGAGGGTGAAAGTTAAGGAACGGTTGCAAACTGTTCATGAAAGCTTTGGCGCAAAGACTTCCTACTATGAGATAGGCGAGAGAGTTGCAATGGTGAAATTCCAAGTAGAAACAGAGCTACTAGTAGTGTGTTCGAGAGAAATGTGTTGAGAGGGTCTGGCAAAGGACACAGTACAGAGGCTTGATCGTGGATCCCGAAGGAGAGGGTAAGGTGGATGACACAGCTAGGCAGTGCAGCGATTGCATTATTTCCAAGAGAACGAAAATGCCTCACGGATTCAGTCCGAGCGACCAACAGGAGGGAGTGAAGTGGAGGGAGGAAAGGGACGCTAGTGGGAGGTGAGTAGGACGGCGAGGGAAGTGTGGTTATATGTGATGGGGTCAGCGCACGGGCCAAATAAAAGCAGCGAGTGGCCAAGCGAGCCTCCATTTCCTGCTCTGGAAGCCTCCATTTCCGGATGCGGTTCCACTCTCACACATATAACTAGTTATATATCCGTATTAATAAAAGAAATATTCTTAACTACCCCTTTATAATTATAGATTTAGGATCTTAGAATTATATTATTAGAATTAAATAGATGCAACGTGTAAAGGGCTGCGCCCGTGATCTCTACTGAAGAGGATCACGTGATCTTCGACCACGTGATATACCTTCTGTACGGACACGTGATCAGAAGCGAGCAGGTATAAGAGAAGTCTGTACTTAGTTATCTTCTCTTTTTCTTATCTTTTAGCTTCTGTACGATAGGTAGAAGCATACTCGTTCGCTAGGCCTCTCCGCCCATAACATAAGCTAAAAGATCACTTTAACCCTTCTTACTCTTTTCTCTCGTACGGAGCGAGAGAGAATTGAGAATGCAAAACGAACAAGATATAACGATGGGGCTACATGAGCCTATGCCAAACCCAGAACCTAGTAACGCCCCGCCAAGGCCTCCGACGTACGAGGAGCTCGCAGAAAGCTGGAGCCAACTTAATGCAACGAATAATCTACTCCGACGAAACCTAGACCAAATGGCTACAAGACTTAAGGACGCTGAAGGCGTACGAGAAGAACTCCAAGAGATGAAAGCCCTTTTCCTCCGTACGGCACAGGGGCAAGCTACCCCTAACGCACAGACTCCTAATCTCACGCCGAGTATGGAAAGTCAGCAACCTCCTAGCCAGCCTCTGGCTACGCCTACGCCCGTACAAGAGTTTGGAAAAGCTAGACTCCCTGATGTTAGAATCTTCGAGAAAGGCTCACACGAAGAATACACGCAGTGGAAGATGCAGATCCGTACGAAACTATCGGCGGATCATCTGG